GCTGCTGCTTTAATCCCGTAGCTGTAGGACTGTCATTCAGCTCGGTGTCAGGCGGTTCTGAGTGATGGTTGTTCTGTAGTTTAGTTGTAACTTTGATGTGGTTGTGGGAGGTACCGTGCTTACCTCCCCACCATCCTGACCGGAAGTCATGTGTATACATGTTTTTGAACCAGGTGTAGATTTAGCCAAAATAGTTTGGCCAGTGTGGCTCAGTGGTTGAGCATCGACCATGATGCACCAGGAGGTTGCTGCTTCGATTCCTGGTCAGGGCACATGCCCAGGTTGTGGGCCTGATCCCCAGGGGGGGCGTGCAGGAGGCAGCCAGTAGATGTTCTCTCTCATTGATGCTTCTCTCTCTCCCTCTCCCTCCTCTCTCTCTAAACATTAATAAAGAAAACAAATATGTTTTTTTAAAAGCCAGAGGAACAGGTAAGAGTCGGCGCGGCAATGCTGTTCCAGTGCCTTCCAGTGGTCGTTGGCACCCCAGCGACACAGGGCCCACTGCACCTGGGAAGCTGCAGAGCACCCAGGAGAGACTGTCTGCACTGACCCACGATGCCTCCGAAAGCTTGGAGACTGTGCCCCGACACAGCTTCTGTGTGTTTCCCGGCCCTGCAGCTTTTTCAAGCGCCTGAGACAAATGCAGAACCTTGATCCCTTAAGCATTCATCTGTTTGAGTATTTTCTTCTCACCAGCTGTAGGCCCCTGTTCACGCAGCTGAGGACCAGGCTAGGGGCGTGCTAATTCTGTCACGAAGAACGAGCCCAGAAGAGCAAAAGCTGCAAACCCGAGGAAACCCTCAATGCCAGACTCATTTTTGGAAGAAAAGGTCACTTACCTTTTCTAAACGCTAAAAGGAAAAGCTAAAAGGAAATGGAATGCAGGCACCTGGAGAATGCCCCTTCATTAAGGTACCCAGACCCGTTAGAGAGCATCACACACTTTCATTTGCAAAGCCATCCCACAGCGTCCTAGCCCCTGTCACTGCAAACGTGCTGGACAAGGTGAACAGAGAGCCCCCTGGGCAGACACGGGGGTGGGACGGAGCCCCCGGCGCTCCAGGGCCTTAGAGCAGAACCAGCTCTTGGACCGAGTGAACATTTTCCTGCCGGTGTCAGTGACTCTGAAAGTCAATGCTAGTCTGCTTAGTCTTTGTCATCAGTTGTGATACCTGAACCCATCCTGTTTTCAGACCTGCAGCCTACAGCACATTCTGTGAACCAGTCGCCAGTCTGCCCTTGGCTTGTCTCCAGCAGCACGGATGAGGCTGTGGCCGGCCCTTCCAGGGCAAACACAGATTCCTTTCAGGGGAAGGTGCTACTGGAAGAGGGTCCAGGTCTGGGCACATGGAAGGGACACCTGCAGACTTCCTGCTGTCTCTGTGGATCCAGACACCTCTTCCCAGGCCCAGAGGGCAGGGGGAGGATGCCTCTTCCCCAGCCGGGAAGGCTGGTCGGTCACCCTGCGACTCCCGCAGGAGGTGCCCAACATACAGACGAACTCACTAAGTACTTGTAGAGTTAGGAGGACAGTGAGGAGGGTCCCGCCCCAATTTCTCCCCGCAGCACAAAAGTGACCAGTTGGATGTGGTTCCCCAGTTTAGGCTCAGGCCTCTGCAGGAGGCTAGGGTGCCCCAGGCCCAGGGTAGGGGAAGTCGGGCACTCCAGGTTCGCCCTCTGCGGGTCACACCCCTCACCCTGGGCACAAAGACAGACGTCCATGCAACCAGGGATGGGCGCTTTCTTTGCAGGGTTTCAAAGTGTGTGCAGCCCCGAGCTTCAGCCACCGCCCCTTCAAGGGTTTGTCTCCCTAGTCGGTGGAGGAGCGGACCTGCGCGCATCCCTGTAATGTCCATTCTCTGCATCCGCCCCCATTCTTCCGGCCACAGCACAGAGAACGGACTCTTCAGAGACTTAACCCATTTGTGTTAGCATTTTTCAATATTATCCCTACAGGAAACACTTTGCTACCATCTCCAGCTGCCCTTTCTGGTGCAAATATTCTCATCCGCTGTGCATCCCGAGAGGTCCCTTTCCTGAGAAAGATGTTTACCTTAGGTATGTGTAACTCCCAGGAGTCTAAAGTACGATCACAAAGCTATTCATTAACATGGTGGTTTTAGCTCCGCCAAAGCAGAAATCACATGACTACTAAGTCTTTTAGGATATTTGTCTTGGTGTAGCTTTCCTTCATTCCTCTATGTGAAGAGGTCTTGTTGTAGACTGTATCTTGAACCTACCAGGGGACCCCAGAAATGAGGTCTACATGGCATTTTATTAGCCCAACAGATTATGTTCATGTTGGAGAGTGAGAAAAAACAAATTGATTGCAGACTTGTAATGTTCCAAAGCTTTTCTTTGAGGCTGAATCAGGACGAGAAGGCCCAGCCCGGGCAAGAAAAGTGCCAGGCTCCTGGGTCTGCTCCCACAGGGCTCGCTTCTGCCCTGGAGAGCCCAGAAAGTTTGAGAAACCAACTCGGAGAGGTTGCCCACGGATTCGGAGTTGGTTTAGATGGTGGCTCTCACGCTCGAGCACCTGTCGTAATCACCTGGAGAGCTGGGTGAACCACACATTGCTGGGCCCCGCCAGAATTTGACGTGGGTGGGCTGAGAATCTGCATTTCAAACCAGTTCCCAGAGATGCTGCTGCTGCTGCTAGTCTGGGGACCACACTCCTAGAACCACTCGGGTTCCAAGATGGGTCACTGTTTTAGGACACTCTTCCAGGTCACTAAGAGCGCAGTGACCACCAGCTCTGATGGACACCCCAGTCCAGCTGCTCTTCGAGCTCCTGGCCTTGACTGTGAGCCCCATCCTTTAGGGTCCAGTCTTCCCTGGACGAGCCCCCAGCCCGTTCCCTCTGACCTTAGGGCCAAGTGCTGTGCATGCAGCACCCAGCTTAAGGTCAGGGCTCACGGACTCGGCTGTTTTCCCCGCCACCAGGATCAGCTACATCATTCATGGGGCCCCTTTTTCAAAAATTATTATGAATTTAAGTACAGTGACAATAGAGTATTAAACCAAGCATACACCTCTCTTCCCAGAGCTTGGTCTCTGGGCCCCCACTACCCACAACAGTGTGTTCTGATTCTTCCTCGTGTCTTCACACATGAACACATCCTCCCTCCACACCATGCTCCACCTCCTCGGCTCCACAAATTCTGCTCCTCAAAAAGGAGGTACTGGTATATTTTTGAAGAAAAATTTTAAAAACAAATCAAAATTATAAAGTTCAATGTATTTTTTTAATCCTCGCCCAAAGATATGTTTTTCACTAATTTTAGACTAGAGAGTGAGAGAGAGAAACATCAACATGAGAGAGAAACATTGATCAGCTGCCTGCCACATGCACCCTGACCAGGGATCGAACCTGCAACCCAGGCATGTGCCTGACCGGGAATCGAACCCACCAACCTTTGGTGTATGGGACAACACTCCAACCAGCTGAGCCACACTGGCCAGGGGCCTAAAGTTCCATATTTTTTATTAGAAATTTTTTGATACAGCATATTCCACTCAAAGGGACTTGTCCTCCAGTGGATAGCTCTCTTAAAGTTCTGTGATCTCACAGTGCTCAAGGTGTGTTCACTGACACAGCATTTGTACTAAAAGAGGGGACCATACAGCTTAAATGTCTATCAATAGTAGTTCAAGAATGAGGCACATTTATAGGTAATGACAAGGATGTATATTGAAGATATAGTAAGTATACAAAGCACGCTGAAATGTGTGTGTGTGTGTGTGTGTGTGTGTGTGTTACTGCATGAATAGAAAAAATTCAGGAAATCTAAACAAGAAATTGTTAGCCATTACCACTGGGAATTTATTATTATTATTGATTTTTTTTAGAGAGAGAGAGGGAGAGAGACAGAAACATCGTGTGAGAGAGGAACACTGATTGGCTGCCTCCTGCACGCCCCCTACCAGGGATCAAGCCCACAACCCCAGCATGTGCCTTGACCAGAAGTCAAACCAGGGATATTTTGGTGTATGGTAGATGCCCAACCACCTGAGCCACACTGACCAGGGCAACCACCAGGAATTTTGACATTATGATGTGCACGTTCTATATTAAAATTTGTATCATTTATTATCTTTGAATATATGTAGAACTAAAACATACATGAGACCCCCACCCAAACTCTTCATCCAGAAACCCTGACCCCCAGCCAGGGCTCTTTCTCCAGCCCCTCCTTCCAGCTGTGCCCCCTCCCTGTGCGCCCCACGCTGGCGCCATGAGCCTGTGCCCCCTCCCTGCGCGCCCCACGCTGGCCCATGAGCCTGTGCCCCCTCCCTGCGCGCCCCACGCCGGCGCCATGAGCCTGTGCCCCCTCCCTGCGCGCCCCACGCTGGCCCATGAGCCTGTGCCCAGGCCTGCGCGCCCCACGCTGGCCCATGAGCCTGTGCCCCCTCCCTGCGCGCCCCACACTGGCCCATGAGCCTGTGCCCAGGCCTGCGCGCCCCATGCTAGTGCCATGAGCCTGTGCCCCCTCCCTGCGCACCCCACGCTGGCGCCATGAGCCTGTGCCCCCTCCCTGAGCACCCCACGCCGGTGCCATGAGCCTGTGCCCCCTCCCTGTGCGCCCCACGTTGGCGCCATGAGCCTGTGCCCCAGGCCTGTGCGCCCCACGCTGGCGCCATGAGCCTCTCAGGGGCCTGATCGCAAGGAGACTGCAGCCGAACCTTCGGCAGCTGACCAGGCCAGGGTGGCTCCGTGGTTGAGCGTTGTCCCATGCACCAAAAGGTCACCAGTTCAATTCCTGGTCAGGGCACAAGCCCAGGATGCAGGCTGAGCCCCAGTAGGGATGAGCAGGAGGCGGCCAATGGATGTTCTCTTTCATCAATGTTTCTCCATCTCTCTCCCTCCCCCTTCCTCTCTCTAAAATCAATAAAAACATTTTAAGTAAATAAATAGGCTCCATTCCCCTCAGAAATGGGCTCCTGTGGAAACCTGGTAACACTATGGAAAGGAGGAGAAGCATTTATGGAAGGCCTTACGCATGGAGTGCCGTATTCAGACGCCGCTCGGAGGTGAGGGGTGCATCCTTCGCTTCAGCTTGGACTGTATGGAACAAACGCCCCAGCACCCCAGGGCTGGAGAGCTAGGTTGACTGACGGCCGCCAGCCCCGCCTCCCAGGTCCCCGTCTCCCGCGTTGGGAACGGCGGATGGAGATGCTGGCGTAAGGACACCAGCGAGCGAACCCCCGTGTCAGGGGCTAAACGCGGAGGTTCACTTGTTCACTCAGCCAGGTCCAGGGTGGAGGCTCCTCCGTGGCAGACTGTCACCCAGGGCCCAGAGTCCCCGTCTTCTGGCTCTGCCCTCTCCGGCCCTGGGAAAGGGGAGCATGCAGGACTCCGAGGGGCTGCATGGGCCCTGGCCGGCGTGGCTGCTGGCTGGGCACTGGCGCGGCACCAGGAGGTCCCAGCAGGGCACGTGCTCGGGTGGGGCTCGATCCCTGGTGGGGCGTGCAGGAGGTCCCGGCAGGGCACATGCTCCGGTGGGGCTGGATCCCTGGTGGGGCGTGCAGGAGGTCCCGGCAGGGCACATGCTCCGGTGGGGCTCGATCCCTGGTGGGGCGTGCAGGAGGTCCCGGCAGGGCACATGCTCCGGTGGGGGCTCGATCCCTGGTGGGGTGTGCAGGAGGTCCCGGCAGGCAGGGCACATGCTCCGGTGGGGCTGGATCCCTGGTGGGGCGTGCAAGAGGCGGCCCGTTGATGTTCTTTCTCACATGGATGTTTCTCTTTCCCTCTCCCTTTCTCTCTGGAAGTCAATAAAAATAAATTTTTAAGGAGAGAGAGAGAGGTCGTACAGGCCTGCAGGTCAGGCCTGGAAGGGAAGAGTAAAAATCACATTCCCGGGGCCACAGAATTGGGCCTCACACCCACCTAGGTGTATGGGAGGCTGGGGTGAGGGTGTGACGGCCAGAACAAGGGCCCCAAGGATTCTCAGCTGACCCAGGCCCTGTCCTCTGTGCTGCATGCCCAGAGGGGTCCGCGGGGTGACTAGGTTCAGAAACTGGAGATGGGTGGCTGTCCTGGATTCTGTGGCAGGCACTGCAACCAGAGCGTCCCAGTGACAGAGGCAAGAGGGTCCCCGTCACTGAAGGACACGTGAAGGTGAAGTGACATCAGAGTGGTGAGCTGGCGACAGGGCCCAGCGAGCAGCCGCCTCTGGACGCTGATGAGGGCGAGGGAGTGGACTCTCCCCAGCAGCCCCAGGAGGCCCGAAGCTGCCAACCCCTGGATTTTAGTCCCCTGACCTCCGGACTGTGAGAACAGATCGGTGTAGTTTGAGCCACGAGCTTGCAGCACGTTGTTACAGCAGCCGTGGGACGAGCACAAGTGGCCTGGCAGGAGCTGAGGACAAAGCAGCAGCATGTGGCAAGTGCCAGCCGCCTGGTGCTCGGGTGAGCCCACCACACCCTGGTACCGCTGCCCACTCTGGTCCAGCCCCTGTGGCCTTGCCTCTGCCCGCGGCCTGGCTGCCCTCCCACGGGTTGCACCAAATGCCAGTTTCTCTCCTTGGATGGCACAGTGGTTTTCCCAAATTGTAGGTCAGATCACATCAATCCCTCTGCCGGACTCCCGCAGGTCCAACAGGAGAAAGTCCTGTGCTCTGCTGGGCACTCCAAGGCCTCTGTGACCTGGCTCCTATCTGCCCTCCATCCTTACCCCTCAAAGGTCCTGGGGCAGTAGTGCCAGGAGCAGAGTCAGAAGAAGTGAGAGGCCAGATTAGGTGCTGGAAGTGGGCCTGGGGCTGACTCCCTCCTTCCCCTCAGCAACCCCATCAGAGCATTGACCCTGCACCAAGAGGTCACCAGTTCGATTCCCAGTCAGGGCACATGCCAGGGTTGTGGGCTCCATCCCTGGTAGGGGACATGCAGGAGGCAGCCAATCGGTATTCTCTCTATCAGTGTTTCTCTCTCTCTTCCTCTCTGTCTAAAATCAATAAAGAAAAAAAATTTTTTTTTAGAAAGAGAGTGAGCCAGGGAGGGCCTCCAGGTGAGGTGGGCTGAGAAAACATGCCCACAGCCAGTGAGGCCGACCCAGAGGGCCTTGTTCTACGTCTGAACAGTGAAAGGGCCCCAATCAAATGGCCCTGGGCCCTGCGGGTCCCCTGAACCGCCCACCCGCATCAGACCACGCATGGAACTCCTGCCGGAAGGCGGGTCCACGCACAGACGCCTGCGTGTGGGCCAGGACACAGGGGCAGGCTCAGGCTGCACTGGTCAGCACAGTGAACAGACTCAGGCAGGACTGAAGGCAGTCATGTCCTCTGTCACCCCCCTGTCCATGTCGTCTCCCCATTACTCCCTCGGTGATGCCCTAAAGTCTGGGCTGTGCCCCTTACCGTCTGTGTCCCTTCCCCTGCCCCGTTACTTCTAAATGGCACTAACTCACTGCCACCATTCTGATCCACGACTTCAGGGTGCGTATGCTCACGATGTCACAGGTGCCATTCTGCATCTGACTGCGTGGTCCTCCCAGCACCAGTCAGGGGCCTCGCAACAGTCCTTCCAGGGACTTCTCCTCAATCTACCAAACTCTTCCCTAGTTTGGGATGTTCGAACTGTGTCTAATTTTCTACAGTTTGCAAATATAGCTTTAATGCCTGAAAAATTTTCCATTAAAAAAAAATTCACTTCCTGCCCTAGCTGGTTTGGCTTAGCAGTTAGAGTGTCAGCCCGCAGACCAAAGAGTTGTAGGTTTGGTTCCCGCCAAGGGCACGTAGCTTGGTTTCCGTTTGTCCCCGGCTATGGTTGGGGTCGTGCGGGAGGCAACCAGTCAATGTGTCCCTCTCACGTCGATGCTTCTGTCTCTCTCTTTCTCTCCTTTTCTCTCCCTCCCACTCTATCTGAAGATAAATAGGGGGGGGGGGGAATGTATCCTCAGGTGAGGATTAACAAAGAAAAAACATCATTTCTTTACACTAGATTCCTAAAAGTGGGATTTCTGGGTCAAACTGTATGAAAATATATAGGAAATGATACATTTTAAAAAGTTGTACCAATTTCAAGTGCAGTGAACAAAGGAAAATAATATCAGGTATTGACATATATTCTCATCATGTAAATATTTAAAAACCATTTCCAATATATTTTTGCTACTTTAATTGGCAAGAAAAACAACAGCATTTTGGAGTTGGAAGGAACCTCGAACCTGCATGTTCCCAAACTTGGCCGCGCATCAGACTCACCAGGAGTCTTCTAGCACCCTGAAGCTGGGGAGGGGGCCGGCCTAGGCCTGCAGGGACGGCGCACAGCCCGGCCCGGGGCGGGACCCTGTCATCTCGGAGAACAAGGACGCTATGAAAGACCAGTGTCTCGTGTCAAAGGCCCAGGAGCCAACTTGAAGCAGCTCCCACTGGCCAGAGAGGAATTCCAAGGATGAGAATTGCAATGGATCAAGCACATCAAAAACACTAAAATCCATGAGGTTGTAACGATACTAACGTCATTACACTTCAGGGGTCTCTTTGGAGGATGGGAGTGATGTCGCAGCACCCAAACACTTTGGGAAACCACTTAGCCGCCTTTCGTACCCAGCCCCTCGGGGAAGAACGAACACCAGGGGGACGTTTCCCTGTGGTGACGCATGAATGTAGGGTGTCACCACGAACCGGAGGAGTGAGGACACCGGCAATGACCAGCACACCGTGCCGGGACGGCCTCTTGTCGAAGCGGGTTCATTACATGAACCATCCTACTTTTTATGTTTGAATTTTCCATAATTAAAAGGAACCGCCCTGGCCGGTTTGGCTTAGCAGTTGGGGCATCAACCCAGGGGCCAGTGCCGGGTTTGATTCCGGTCAAAGGCACACACCTCAGTTGAGGTTCAGTCACCAGCCCTGATCGGGTTGTGAGGGAGGCAGCCAGTCAACGTGTCTCTCTCACATCGATGTTTCTCTCTCTCTTTCTCTCTCCCCCTCCCACTCTGTCTGAAGATAAATGGAAAAATATCCTCTGGTGAGGATTTGAAAAAATAAACAAAGGAATTTCATGTATTTCGGGTCCGAGGCCCCCCCCAGACCTGTAAGCCGGGCTCGTAAGGTGTGACCTGGAACTGAGTCCTGGCAGCTCCTGTGTGATTCTGAAGTCGCTGCTCTGTGGACCAGTGTTTGCAACGGTGATGTGACAGGTGCAAGGAAACTGAGGCACAGCACAGAGCATCTATGCTCAAGCTCATACCACTAGTTCATGGGAAAACCCAAGTTGCCTGACTCTAGCCTCGGGTCCTTTTCAAGATGATAGGCAGCCTCTTGAATGCAAACGCCCCAGAAACAGGGTGCTTTGACCCATGCACGACTGCAGAAGGCACCCTGGGGGTTGTCTAGGACCTTCCATCTCTCTGAAATCAGTCACATCGGTGACCTAATCCATGAGCAACTCAGAATCTGAGGGCAGAGGAGGACCTTGGATCCACACCTGACACGAACTCAAACTCAAGACCTCTGGTTTCATTTCCAAACAAGACTGTACACGGGGCTCACAAGCCTCCCGCCCCTGTCCTCCAACACACAGCCCAACAAGGTCCCTCACGCCCTCAGCCCCGTTCCGCATGTTCCTGCTGCCCCTGCCGGATGGAAGCCAGGATTCCCAGTGCTGGCAAAGGCCTGGTGAAATGCTAATTTCCCGACGTTACAGAAAGTCTGAACAAGTACATTTTTGGAAAGAAAGTTGGTGACATGCATCCCATGAGATTTAAAATGTTTATATTCTTTGACCCAATAATGCCATATCTGGGAGTAATCAAAAAAAATTTTTTGTTTGTTTTTAATCCTCACCCGAGGATATATTTCTATTTATCTTCAGATAGAGTGGGAGGGAGACAGAAACATTGACGTGAGAGAGAGACATCTACTAGTTGCCTCCCGCACCACCCCAACCAGGGCCAGGGACGAACCATAACCGAGGTACGTGCCCTTGACCGAATCAAGCCCGAGACTCATTGGTCCACAGGCCGACGTTCTAACTGCTGAGCAAAACCAGCCAGGGCCAAAAATTTTTTTAAGAATGAAAACAAAATGATAGAACAATGATGTTCATCACAGTATTAGTTAGAAGAGGAAAAAAGTAGAAACCACCAGTTTCGAACATCTCTTGGCAATCCATAGAAAATGATTGTACTTGGGAGCTGTATTTCACAAGTTTGTCACTTGGAAAGCGAGGTCCATCAGGTGCCCCCTTCCTGCAACCCAAACCTCCAGGAGCACAAAGGCTGGGGAAGTTGAACCTGTGCCCCGCCCCAGAGGGACCCGGCCAGACCGCCGCTGCGGGGACGGCTCCCCGGGCGGCCTCTGTCTCCATCCCTCTCACTGCGTATTCCTATCTACTTCCTCAGCTAGAGACGGTCACTTTCCTGCCAAAGGCCCGGACACCGAACGTCCGGATAACCAAATCACCTGGTTGAAAAATAGGTATCTAGTCACAATGGGAAAGGTTTAACCAAAGCATGCTAGTGGACTAGAGCTTTCTGAGATCAGGCAAGTTAGGTAAATAGGACAGAATGCTTCCTACCAAGTGACACACAGCACACACTGAGGTTCTGAGACAGATTGGACCTTCCCAGGGAGACACAGCACACACTGAGGATCTGGGACAGAATAATACTTCCCGGGGACACACAGCAGAAACTGAGGTTCTCAGACAGAATTCTCCTTCCCGGGGAGACACAGCACACACTGAGGTTCCGAGACAGAAGGGTCCTTCCCGGGGAGACACAGCACACACTGAGGTTCCGAGACAGAAGGGTCCTTCCCGGGGAGACACAGCACACACTGAGGTTCCGAGACAGAAGGGTCCTTCCCGGGGAGACACAGCACACACTGAGGTTCCGAGACAGAAGGGTCCTTCCCGGGGAGACACAGCACACACTGGGGTTCTTGGACAGAATGCTCCTTTTCGGGGAGACACAGCACACACTGAGGTTCGGAGACAGAAGGGTCCTTCACGGGGAGACACAGCACACACTGGGGTTCTTGGACAGTATGCTCCTTTTCGGGGAGACACAGCACACACTGAGGTTCTTAGACCAAATGCTCCTTCCCAGGGAGACACAGCACACACTGGGGTTCTTGGACAGAATGCTCCTTTTCGGGGAGACACAGCACACACTGAGGTTCGGAGACAGAAGGGTCCTTCCCGGGGAGACACAGCACACACTGGGGTTCTTGGACAGTATGCTCCTTTTCGGGGAGACACAGCACACACTGAGGTTCCGAGACAGAAGGGTCCTTCCCGGGGACACACAGCACACACTGAGGTTCTAAGAGAGAAGGCTCCTTTCCGGGGCGACACAGAACACACTGAGGTTCTTGGACAGAATGCTCCTTCCCGGGGTACACAGCAGACACTGAGGTTCCGAGACAGAAGGGTCCTTCCCGGGGTACACAGCACACACTGAGGTTCCGAGACAGAATGCTCCTTCCCGGGGACACACAGCACACACTGAGGTTCGGAGACAGAATTTTCCTTCCCGGGGAGACACAGCACACACTGAGGTTCTTAGACCAAATGCTCCTTCCCAGGGAGACACTGCACACACTGAGGTTCCGAGACAGAAGGGTCCTTCCCGGGGAGACACAGCACACACTGAGGTTCGGGAAAGAAGGGTCCTTCCCGGGGACACACAGCACACACTGGGGTTCTTGGACAGAATGCTCCTTTTCGGGGAGACACAGCACACACTGAGGTTCCGAGACAGAAGGGTCCTTCCCGGGGAGACACAGCACACACTGAGGTTCCGAGACAGAAGGGTCCTTCCCGGGGAGACACAGCACACACTGAGGTTCGGGAAAGAAGGGTCCTTCCCGGGGACACACAGCACACACTGGGGTTCTGGGACAGAAGGCTCCTTCCCGGGGAGACACAGCACACACTGGGGTGTTGAGAAATACTGCTGTAAAGAAGTCTCTGTGGCCGTGTTCCTTGCTTACGTGACCACAGCACGTGTTCCAAGCAACACCTCTTACAGGTGCGCTCAGGAGGACGGTGGGCAGCATGAGGACACGGATGCTCTGCTCTCTGGGTCATCATCTCCTCACGCGCCAGTCCGGGTGCCCAATCCTGTGTCCTGAGCCGGTTGGATGTTTAAGGGCTGAAGGAAGTGAGTCTTAGGCTGAGCACTTGGCCTGGTGGGCGGCGGAGGGAATCCCAGAGGGGAGAGTGAGGAGTTGAATTATATTAGAAAGCCGCCGAGCTGGGCAATGCTACGTGACTCGCAGGACCCACTAATCTGCACAGGGAACAGTCCCCCGCGCCCGCGTCTCCGCCGCCCGCGCTCTGCAGTGGCCAGTGCTCCCCAACATCCATCCGCTCCTGCTGGTCCTGCCGGGTCCTCCCTCCGGCCTGGCACCTCCTTCCCTCAGCCAGCCGCGGGCTGCTCTGCCCTCAACACACCACACAGCCCCAACCCGGCCCGGGCAGCCCCTCTGCCCGCAGCAGTCGCCCCACACCAGCCCCGCCGTGTCACCCGTCTCGGCTCACAGCCACCACCCCGAGGCCCCACCACACGCCCCCACCCCGAGGCCCCGACCACACGCCCCCACCCCGAGGGCCCCCCGACCACACGCCACCACCCCGGGGGCCCCCCGACCACACGCCACCACCCCGGGGGCCCCCCGACCACACGCCACCACCCCGGGGGCCCCCCGACCACACGCCACCACCCCGGGGGCCCCCCGACCACACGCCACCACCCCGGGGGCCCCCCGACCACACGTCACCACCCCGGGGCCCCCCGACCTCACGCCACCACCCCGGGGCCCCCCGACCTCACGCCACCACCCCGGGGCCCCCCGACCACACGCCCCCACCCCGAGGCCCCGACCACACGCCACCACCCCGAGGGCCCCCCGACCACACGCCACCACCCCGGGGGCCCCCCGACCACACGCCACCACCCCGGGGGCCCCCCGACCACACGTCACCACCCCGGGGCCCCCCGACCTCACGCCACCACCCCGGGGCCCCCCGACCTCACGCCACCACCCCGGGGCCCCCCGACCACACGCCACCACCCCGAGGGCCCCCCGACTACACGCCACCACCCTGAGGGCCCCCCGACTTCAAGCCACACCCCGAGGGCCCCCGACTACACGCCACACCCCGAGGGTCCCCGACGACCCTATGCAGAGGTCATCCTCACCCACTTTGTCCCACCACCGTTTTTCACTCTGCGTTTATCATCTGAAATCCTCGCATCCGGTTTCCCGTCTGTTCCTCCCAGCAGCGTGCACGGTCAGGGCCAAGGAGAACCTACCGGCCTGTTCATCCTACCGCCCCGCAGCCACACCTGTCTGCTGGTGGCAGATGCCCAGCTCCTGAGGAACTTTTTAAAGTGGTGGCGCTCAGGCTGCAGATGGACTCAACACCTTGTTAAGCAACCTGACCAAGGCCACACAGCGGGAAGTGATTGGAACCCATGCTTTGCAGTCATGGAAAGTTGAAGGGAGTCCCTGGGTCTCCGGAGTCCAGGTCCCACGTTGCATGGCTGGCCTAGTCCTGGTGGGCCACAAGACAGCAGAGCGCTACGTTTTCAAGGAGGAGCTCAGGTTTTGTGAACTCTCTCCCTTTGAAGCCCGGTAGGAGCTGATCCAGATTTATTAAAGATGGTTGTGGTCAGAAATTTATCTTTAAATAAAATTTTTTTATTCTCACCTCAAGACATTTTTTGCATTTATCTTCAGATAGAGCAGGAGGGAGAGGAGGAGGGAGAGAGAAACATCGATGTGAGAGAGAGACATCGAGTGGTTGCCACCCACACGACAGCAACCGAGGTAGGTACGTGCCCTTAGCAGGAACTGAACCCAGGACTCTCTGCTCTGCCGGCTGATGCTCCAACCGATGAGCCAAACTGGCCAGGGCCAGAATTTTATCTTTGGAAACCACATTCCATCCAAAATATCCTTGAGGTCTGACAACTAGATCATTCACACGTGAGGTTACGAAGTGGTCACATCTAGTATTTCACACCCTGCTTGCCCAGTCTTTCTTCTTGCACTGGGCAATGTTTGGCCAAAATCATCAGCACAAATTAATCAGTTAGGCAGAAACAGCATTTTAGCCAAGATCAGAAAGCTTAGCATATTTACCTTGTCTGCAACATATTCTGCAGGGAAAAAACTAAAAACTTCAGAGAAAATGGGAAGGAAAACAAGAACTAGAATGAAATCAGAAGAGGTAAAGAGGGCAAGTCCTCTGCCTTCTCCTAAAATCCGTTCTACCCTCCTCCATTTTCGTCAAACGGCTCTGCTTCAACAGGGGTAAGCCCCCCTCCACAGATACTGAGGGTCCTGCAAGGTCGCCAACAGGCCTTTGGATCCCCAGTGAGTGCGTGTGGATCACACTGAGATAAACTGACCAGAGCCCAAAGACTGGGATAAAGAGGGGCAGGTATTAGTGTGCTTGGCTGCTTGAACAGCTTGAAGGCTTTCCCCTATGATCCAAGCGCTGTAAGAACATGCGGTGTCAGGGAAGCTGGGAGGGGGGTCTGTGCTGCTAAGTACCTTGGACACATTGACAGGCTAGTCTCAGTCAGTCGTTAATGACGAATACAAGAAAGCTGTTCTAGAAGTTCTCTAACATATGATAAACTCTGAAACACACAGTAGGCAGAGTAATTCTTTCTCTTAGCACCAAATCTTTCTCATTCTTCACATTGTTAGTCAGATTTTACTATATAATAGACAAAATAAAGACTACACCATTTCACTACAAAATACATGCAAATAAAAACTAATCTGAGAGGTTTTGACAAGTTCATGTCAGGTAGAAAAACAAGTAAACAAAAAAATAATTCCTGCCAGGCCAGTGTGGCTCAGGGGATTGAGCGCCGTCCCATGGACTGAGAGGTCCTGGTTTGACTCGGTCAGGGCACATGCCCAGGTTTCGGGCTCGATCCCCAGTAGGGAGCGTGCAGGAGGCCGCCGAAAGATGTTTCTCACATAAATGTTTCTATCTCTCTCACTTCCTCTCTAAAAAATCAATACAAAAAAATTTTTAAGACTTTCCTATATGCCTACTTCGTAAGTAAAATTAATCACGCCTTTATAGCCATCAGTTCAAAATTAAACCAGCATCTTGAGAAGCACTTGAGATTTCTGCTTGTGGCACTCATGGTCTGCTGTTTGGCAGGCTGGACATGCTGCAGACTTTTCTGGGGAAGAAACATTCTTAAAACAGGATGTATCAGTTGAGAATAAGCACCCTGTGAAACACTTTATGGTGCACATTTGTGGTCTTGAAATTGAGCTGAAATTCACATTAGCTAAGTACTATTTGATTGGAGAATATAAAAATAAAAATCTACTTAGAACAACCTTTTGGTTTTGACAGCTCACTACAACCCTCATGACAGAGCCTACATTAGGCCCAGACCATTGATTTCCCCAGAAATAAATGAATTTGACAAATCTTTTATTAAAATGTTAGCATGGCCCAGTTGGTGTGGCTCAGTGGTTGAGCATTGACCCATGCACCCCAAAAAGTCACCAGTTTGATTCCCGGTCAGGGCACATGCCCAGGTTGTGGGCCAAATCCCCAGTCGAGGGCATGCAGGAGGTGACCAATCGATGTTCTCTTGCATCGATGTTTCTCTCTCTCCCTTCCTCTCTAAAATCAATAAAGAACAAAACTTCTTTAAAAAGGTTAGCATGGCCAAAAACCATCTGAAAGCATTTCCCTAAATACTCTCAATAAACTGCTCATACCCAATAGCTATAGAAGTGTAGTAAGACAAAGTATGCTGAACAAGAAATGCCACCTAATAGATTTCACATGCCAGAACTGCTCAGCTGTGGCCCTGCGTCCAGGGAGTTGCTGCTGCATTTCAGCTCCAAACCTTCAGCTAGATGGAAGGCCAAGTCATGTTGTTTTGTTTTTAATGTTTTTATTGATTTTTTTTAGAGAAAGAGGAAGGGAGAGAAACACCAAGCAGCTGCCTCCAGCACACCCCGCACTGCAGATGGAGCTCGCAACAAGGGAATTGAGCCGGGACCTCCCAGTGCATGGGACACCACTCAGTCCACTGAGCCACGCCAGCTGGGCCCAAGTCGTGTTTTTAATCTAACTTTGGTTCTTCCAAATCCAGGTGTGCACTTTCTAGAACTCCAAAGAGCTTCACAAATGTCCTGAGTAGAATTTAAAGTGTAATTTCCTTTTCTAATTCTATTGGTTCAGCTCTCTATTCTAAAAGTAGTTTGAGTACAGTTCTTATTTCTGTGCAATCTGAAAATAAAAACTGTAACTTGCAAATACACAAATACAAGTTGTTACATATTAACCCTCTTTTACTCTTCTCAGGATCTTCTTGTCTATTCACATTTTGTAAAAATTATACATTACTGCTCAGTTCTGATAATTTGTATAGATTTTTGTTTTTACATTGAGATTTTACTTTATGGACTTCCTCTAGGAACTCTGGTGTATGCAATTCTACAATAATAAATGACCATAAAACATATTTTTAAAAATCCACTCAATAAAAATGTTTTTCTCTAAGATCAAGAATTAAATGTCCAGCCCTGGCCAGTTTGGCTCAGCGGTTAGAGCGTTGGCTCACGCACCAGAGACCTGGGATCGGTTCCCGCTAAGGGCATGTACCTTGGTTGCAGTTTGTCCCCGGCCCCGGATGGGGTCGTCGTGTGGGTGGCAGCCAGTCTATGTGTCTCTCTCACATCGATGTTTCTCTCTCTCTCATTGATGTTTCTCTCTCTCTCTTCCTCCCTCTCTCCCTCTCACTCTATCTGAAGATAGGAATTAAATGTCCAGAAGACTGGGAAAAGAGATTATAAAGCAATATTCGGTGTATAATAACAAGCCAGAATATCCCCAAATGTAAGTTTGTAAAATCTTTTAACTAAATACAAATCAAAGAAAACATCTTTTCAAAGTATCAGTGCCGTGGAATAGTAGTGTTACTGTTCTAAAAGATGTTCATATCTTTAGTTTTCAGAAATACTAAATGTTTATGAATTTTAAATCCCACTCCTTGCATGACAACCATGTGCCAGTGATTCACAGGTGACTTCATCCCTACATTAACCCACGAGGTTATTACCTCATTTATAAGCAAGAAAAGATTCCAGAAGATCGCACAGTGAGGAAGAGTTGGTATTCAAGTCCAAATATAACCCCGTACTAAAATGAGTATCTAATCCAAACAGTTTACTACATGCCAAAATTTTACATTCATTTTCATCAGGCAAGAAATAAAACTAAAAAAGCATTTGTTATGGTCATTGAAATTAATACAGAACAATTTCAAAATAATATGGTTTGCACCCTGGCTGGTTTGGCTCAGCGGTTAGAGCATCGGCCTGTGGACCAGAGTCCCAGGTTCGATTCCAGCCAAGGGCACGTACCTCGGTTGCAGTTTGTCCCCGGCCCTGGTTGGGGTCGTGCAGGTGGCAATCAGTTGACGTGTCTCTCTCTCTCCTACTCTATCTGAAGATAAATGTAAAAATATCCTCAGGTGAGGATTAAAAATAAATAAATAAAATCTGCCCTGGCCGGTTTGGCTCAGCGGTTAGAGCATCGGCCTGCGGTCCGGAGAGACCCGGGTTCGGTTCCCGCTAGGGGCACGTACTTCGGTTGCAGTTTGTCCCCGACCCTGGTTGGTCGTGCGGTGGCAGCCACTCGATGTGTCCCCTTCACATCGATGTTTCTCTCTCTCTGTCTCTTCCTCTCTCTCCCTCCCACTCTATCTGTACAAAAAATGGAAAAATGTCCTCGGGTGAGGATAAAAAATAAAATTAAAAAAAAAATAAAACAATATGGTTTGCTTTGAAAATCCATTTTGTATATATATGTTTTGTTCACGCTATAAAGCGTTGGGATTAAGTCACATCACAGACAACCATTAACGAGAACACTGTGTAAGTGGTAGAATGGTCAAGACCGTGGTGTGGAGGAGGTGGAGTACACACTCGGTAGTACTTTGTTTTCTTTTGAAGGTGTTATTCAGAATAAAAATACTCACTTGCCGTTTGGGAAAAACCCTTTTCAAACTTTACAAGGAACTACGGCAGCTCAAAAGAAAAAGTAAGCTTTCGGAAAGAACTGGCCCATGAACGGACCGAGGGCACTGTGCCACGTGCGATGCTTGTCGCGGGCCGGAGGCCGACTCCCTTCTCCGGGGAGCTGCGACCAAACACAGAACAGAGCGGAGGGGCCGGGGCGGGGCCGGGGCGATGGGAGCGGGGAACAGGTGGTTTCCTTCTGTGAGGTGAGGGCCGGGAGACCGCTGACACCATGTCAGTACACTGTACACCTGAAAGCAGTTTAGATGGTAAATCTTGTCAGGACTGTTTTACAATTAAGTATTTTTTAAAGATTTTCAAGGAAACAACAAAATTATTTTTAATGTGGTGATACTGGGGTTATGCTTTAAAGAACAAAACATTGAAATACATACTAATATGTTGAATTAATTCTACTATTGTGTATGTCAGGAATTTCCCTCAATGAAATAAAACAAAGTATCTCTTCGAAAAAGGGGAAACCAGTAACAAAATAAAATCTCCTCATCAAGAGAATAATCTATCATGAAAATGTTTTATTGTAGTTTAAACATGTGATAAAGGTGACACATCACTGATTTCACGTGGAGAAGGGTCAGACACAGACGTGGTCTGCCGGGCTTGCCCTGGAAAACCACAGGCAGGAGAAGGAAGTGAACAGTCTAACGTCTGCTACGAAAACAACATATTTTTATTGAAGTAATCAAGAGTCAAAAACAACAAAAGGGAATTCTACAACCTTCGTTTGTAACTAAATCGTTATGTAGAAAAACTATAAAGTGACAGTCTGGAAAGCGGCTCCACGGTACACTCAACCTTTAGACCAATTCGGAGTAATGAAATCATGGGACAGTTCACCCAACAGAAACTATCTTACTTACAACATTTCAGCTGAGCTGATTTCAACTATATTATTTTCATTTCTGAAAAACTGTCTTTCCTAGTATTTAAAATCACCAAAGATAAAATGCACAATAGCCCGCTGAAGAAGATAAGTCGCAAACACTCCAAGCACCATCCCAGGAGAAGTGAAGGCGAACACTGTCTAGAGCCGCAGCGCTGTGACCAGTCCTGCACGTGCCACGGAGACGAGCTCCGGAGGCGGCGGTGAGCGGACGCAGTGTCACCGCCGGGACAGGGCCCCCTGGGCAGCAGCAGCCCCCACTGTCTCATCACAGCACTTCCCCTGGGGTTTGCAGTTGTACATTATCTAAGTCCTGGGAATTTGATAACAAAAAAAAGGGATAATGAATGAAAGACCCCTAGACTCTATTCTGAAACATGCGTGTGGAGTGTAAATAAAACAAGCTCTGTGTTTTTACAGTCACGTGTTTCTTTAAACTTATACTAGCACCTTCATTAGTATCTACACTGAATTTTCCTTAATTAGCTTTTCCACTAAAATACAATAGAAGAGCCCTGGTCGGTAGCTCACTTGTTAGAGCGCTGCCCCTCGGACCAAAGAGTCACAGGTTCGATTCCAGTCAAGGGCTCGTGTCTCGATTGCAGTTCGATCCCCAGCCCTGGTAGGGCTCGTGCGGGAGGCAACCAACTGGTGTGTCTCTCTCACATCGGTGTTTCTCATTCTCTTTCCCTCCCTCCCACTCCGTCTGAAAACCAATGGAAAAATACAGTCGGTGAGGATTTAAAAAAAACATAGAATACAACAGAAGAAGAAAACAACAAAGGAAAAAAAGCTCTTACTTCTTAAGTGTACAATCTTTAAAAAGCAGTACTATTTATTTTGAAAAACAATTTTCTCTGCTAGAGAAATCATAATGTTGTGGTCATCTGAGAACAGGTTAAGTAATTTTGGCAAACAGATTAATTTGCTCTCATTTTGAATAATCAAATGATAAACTATTACCATGGCCATATAATTTTTTAGAACCTACACCACCACAAAGGCAAATGTGTACAGAATATTTCTAATAAACCTAAATTAGATCATGATTGAATTTCTTAAAAACATTTTCAAGTGCTCAAGAATACTAAAATGTGTATTGGGGGGATACAAATATTTCCTCCCTCTGAGATCTTTTAATTAGGATAAAAATCTTAGGGTAAACCCACAGGAATGGTCTGCAATAAAGAAAAATTAGGTCAGGGTATAACAACTTCCACCAATTTTAGATTAAAAGCCAAAAACATTCTGAGACAAATAAGAGCATTCTTTGGGGTCAGGGCTTTTTGTTTAGTTCTTTAATCTCTAAGTTCTCAACACGTTACAGTTCAGAGATGCCCATACACTTACTAACAATAAGTAAATACATGTCAAAAAACAATTCCCAAACATGATTCTTTCCATCACAGGTCTCTCTTTGGTAAGAAACAGACTACCATTTACTTTCTCTCACCTGTAGAAGAGAGGGAGATTAGGCGACATCAAGCTGGTAAGGAATCCCTGTTTATAAACGTTAGGTTAGAGAGTAAAGGGCTTACACTGTGCCCTTTGGAAGAGCAGACAATGGGATTTCCTCTTATATACAGCTATGGAAGGAGACTGTCTACTACAAAGCCGGAACCGGGCATTTCCTGTAGTCAACCTGTAGAAATTTTGCTATCCAATTAAGAGTGTTCTTTAGATAGAAAACATGAATAATATGCTATTATAAAAATATGGTACAATATCTCCTCACTATTCTCCAATTTCTGATCCATTAAACTTTCATAGAATCCAGGGAAAATTCAATAGGCTTACTTTAGGTATTTTCTCATTAAGTAAAACTGAAAATAACCTATCTAACAATATTATTTCCAATTCCAGAAAAAAAAAACTCCAATACAATCTAATACACACATTGACAAACTTCAGAGAATACATATTCATCGAGCCAAAGCAAGCCCCACCCATCCACCCAAAAGGAAGCCAGTCATTACCCACTGTGATATAAACAACATTCACCAAATCTGGATCCACATGAAAAGAACGGCTAAATCCTACTGCAGTAAAAAAAAAAAAAATGCTACAAACAAGCAACCACAACTGACCTAACAATTTCTACTCACTCCTACTTCTCCAGGATATTTTTTTAAAAGACGGAGAAATAAGCATTCCTTGTAACTTGACTGGCAAAATCATTACCTGACTATTTCTAGGTCTATACTAGATACCAGAGAATGATGGAATGCCCAAATCAGTAGAAACTCAACATTATTATTTTTGCAAAAAAAAAGGTAATTATATAAAAGTCCATTCACTTAGGCAATGAACAAAGAAAAACACTTAACTTTAAAAATGGCTATATTTGTAGGTTTTTAAAAACCAGCACCAAATATTCATGTTTATTCTGAGCAACATTTAGAAATTAACATATCCTAAGAATATGGACAAACAAAAGAGCGAACAATAAAAGAATAGCTTCCAAGCAATATTGCATGTGGGTAAGAACCACTAAATAACACAATCTGATTGGCTCATTTCTAAAGCGATTACAGGTTTGCCCAGTTAGGAAACAGCATGCCCCCCCCTCGCTGCTCAGCTAAGGTACCTAACTCTCCCAAAATGGGTCAGCTTATTTTATTTTGTGACTAGGCAAGATTAAGTAAAACAACTTGAGAAGATATTTTTTAAAAGCAAGCTAATTCAAAACAACCCATTATTGGGAATAGTTTTCTACTCTCTCTTTTAAGGGGGGAAACCCCATCAAACCCCAGTATAAAGTGCCTAAAGGAGAAACGGAGGCAGATTCAAAAGGAACAGTGTCAATTCAAGTAACACAGCCCTTTATTCCATTATTTTTATAGCAATACTGAGGTCAACATCATACAAGGTCTCTTACTTCTTCCTCAGACAGCAGCAAGGTTTCTGCCACCTGCAAAACAGAGTTCAACGCTGCAAATGGTTTAAATCAATTTTCTGCACCTTGAATTCACAAACCACTGAATGTTAAGTTGCCTTAAAACTATTTTATTTTTAAATTTTACTTAAAGCTAAAACTAACTCTTTTTTAAAAAACAAAACAAAAAACAAAGCAAAAAAGGTGCTTTAAACAGAACCTTGTAGAAATATACTCATGCCAGGGTTTGAAGACAGCCTACAGAGGGTTGTAAAAGGCAACTATCAGACAACTAATTCTATGGCCAACTCTTGGTAGAAAAAGTCTTTTACAATAAACTTCTTTCGTGACAAATGAAATCAGAAGATGGAGATTTAATAGTTCCCCAATAATAAGTAGTTGCTCAGGACATAGGTTGAGTGTATTTAAGTCATATTGCTTCTTTGAAGAAAAGGAAAAGAATTTTAGCCAGGCCTCCCATTAACAATAGACCATGCCACATTCCCCTCGTCTTTTGATCTCTGGGTACTAGTGTTACCCAAGAGAACCTTACCAAAGAAATCGGTTGGTAAACCTACCAAAAAGGAGTCTCAGGTTCCCTAACTTTTATAGTCATCTTAGCAAACAGAAAACTTGAGCTGCTTGAACAATGGAGCTTGTAAAGTGTGTTCAGTATAGAAACACAACAGAAGTGCTAAACTCACTTAGTAGGACTGGACAGGACTTGATGTCACCAATGGGGCAAAAAAACAACATATGGTTTTCTCTTCAGATTTTATTTGAAATCTAATTCAAATTGTCAAAGCTACAAAATAGGGGAAGACATCTGTATTAGTTTTGCTAAGTCACAGCATCCTAAAACAAAATACTACTACTGCCAGCAGATCCATTATACACATTTCTGATGAAATTCATTACCACAATAAAAATTTCATCTTGAGAACAGCCACAACGAAAGTAATTTACACAATATAAAACAATGACAGGTCTACAGATGCAGTTACTCATGAGTTTACACATGCGTTCACAAATAAACAAAAACCCCAGGAATGCTCTTTTCATTTGATTTTTTTTTAAAACAGACCGTTCAGGCACAAAACAAAATCGCATTTCCAATAAGTGACAGCATCTTAAAAATGTATGTCAGTGTTTGTTTTTCTTTGACTTTTTATGAGACCTGTGTGGAGATCGGGACTGGGATCTGGATTTCTTCCCTGATTTTTTAGGGGATCTAGACCGTGATCGCCTAGACCTTTTAGGTGTCCTTGAACCAGATGGTGATCTGAGGAAACAAACAAAAACAATTTATCACAGTACTCATGTGATCAAAACGGACTCCTTAAATTATCTAAAATGCACTTGAACTAAACACAATAAAAGTCATTGAAACACAGAAGGCTGTAAACGTCCCAGATCTGTACACTGCCTACAGCGTGCACACGCACACACGGGTTTTTTACATGTGCATCGTATCAGTCATCAGAGGTGCACTTGCTTTAAAAGAGGCTCCTGAGCCTTATCACACTGTTCTCCTGAACCAAAATCTCGAGGCAGGACTAAGGAGTTGCAGTCTTAGTAAGTTCCCCAAGTGAGTGACATATCTCCAGTCTGAACCTCTAAATCAACAAGATAAAGTTCAAAATGGCATCTACTACCATTCACAAAACACAGGACAGCTCTGCAGCCTTTCTCTTTGAGGGAAAAGGCACAACTATTGCAGTGTCATTCAAGGGAACCATGTAAGACAGCATAATTTTTTTAAGTGCTGTTCATGAAGATTACCAAAACAAATAAATAACACATTTATCAAATACACACACACATACACACATATGTAAGTGCTTATCTATTTTATAAAGATTTTACTATAATAATAAAGTTTTAGCTCTCAGGAAAATAACACCAGATAAATAAAACATTTCTGAACTACTTTTCTAGAACTATAAGGGGAAAAGTCTATACTAAATTATACACTGAAGAAATGGTATTTATTTTCATAAGTCTCTACCCAAAAACTAGCTGTGAAGATTGCCAGAGTGATATGGGGAAAGGGGGATGTGGTCTTTTTTTCAGCTTTGACAAAAATAAAAGAATTTTCTACAGAAACTAAAGAAGAACAGAATGAAAAGTAAAGCAGCTACCCCTACTCCATAGGAAACACTGGATATGATGTTTAAAGTTCTTGGCTGGTCTTTACTTGTTGGAAGCCTTCTTGTGCTTTAGTCATGAGATTGGTGTTGGGTGGTGGGAAGGCATAATCTAAAATGAAAGCATCTCTTTTTGGTTTTCTAAAATCCTTTAAAGAAGAGCTAGCAACCAAATTATTCTCAAAAGCCGGTGCAATGAACAGGAAACCGGTATACGAAATATTGCAAAAAATGACTTGCATTTACCTTTTGGCCTTTTTGCTAACATCTCTAGGAGAATCTTTGTGAGATGACCTGGACCGGGAGCTCTCTTTATGAGATCTTTCTGAACGCTCTGATCGCTCCGACTTTGGTGATGGGGACTTCACTCGTCTACCACTGCTACTGCGAGATGGGCTAGGGGACGTACTGTGTCGCCTTTTCCTATGGAACAAAACCCCAAAACATTCCATAAGTAAGCAAAGGATCAGGTATTCAATTTCCTTCTACTAAATTAGCTATTAACTCCTACCAGTTTACGCTAACTTTATTTCACTAACTTTACTGATGTTATTTTCCGACAACATTCAAAGCGCTTCATACCAACAACCAATTAAGTCTTAAAAACAGATTGATCAAGACAAAAACTGAAGTCAACAAAATTGGATTTTCTTTTGCTGTAAGAGAGATTATTACTGAGACAATGGACAAAATTTCATTAAGGTCTCTAATCAGCTAAGTTTTTTAATGTTAACTTCACAATCTTGAAACTTTTATTGTGGTTTACATAAGATAATGGAGCATTATGTTGGCAAGTTACCTTAAATGGTTGCGAAAAGTGGGAAGGAAGAAGAAAATAAGGCAAAAGTAGAAATATTTAACATTTGGGGAACGTGGGTGGAAGATATCTGGAAATTCCTTATACTATTCTTGTAATGTTTCTGTAAATCTAAAATTACATCAAAATAATAATAAAAAAGAAAAAATAGATTTACTATTTAACCAATAACTATGCTATTTGTAGAGTGACTAAGCCAGAATTATTTGCATTCACTTGGTTTTTATTAGGAAAAAGTTAAATATTAACTAAAGCAATTTTCTCTACTAACTCAAATTTAGGGATTATGAAAGTAAAAAATAAAAACTACAAGATAAGTGATTTTTATTAGAATGAAGACAAAGTGGGAAGCAAGTGCTTACAGTCTAGGTACACAATCTCCTTCCAAGGAAGGACTGGGAGACTCAAATTAATAGGTAGCAGACTCAGCACAGAAGAAATGCTTATACTAGAGGCAACTAAGAAAGATCTAGCAAGCTGTTGTTCAGTTATTTAAGCCTAAGCTTGATACCTAATACAGCAGCTGAATTCTTAGCACTGGACTAAGGCTAAGGTACCCTATGGACAATGTAAAGAGATAAAGGAATGATGGCTTAGTTAAGTAAGTTAAGTGCCAACTGAACTGTCCCATTTCTCAGCTAGTTCTGCCTCCTGTAGGCAAGAGCCAAACATATTTATCATGAAAAAATATTTTTCTAGTTTGTTAGATTGGTGATAAAATAGCATAAAATGGAACATCATTCTAAATCCTAAAACAAGTATAGGTATTAACTGAGAAATGTTGTACCTTTCTTTCCTTGTTGGAGTACACTCATCTTTTTCTTTCTTGTCTTTGGATCGAGATTCCAATTTTTCTTTATCCTTCTTATCTCTTTCTCGTTCTCTTTCTAATTCTTTCTCTTTCTCCTGTTTTTTGTTGTTGTCAATGAAAGAATAGTCATTAAAAAAATACCAATCTGGGTTAATTTCATTTATGTAACAATGTTTTCTCTTCTACTTAACTAATTTTTAAATCACTAATACCATTTTTTTAAAAATACCTCCTCTTCCAGAAAAATCAGTCATTTCTTCTACTTATCCTGAATAACAGTGAAACCGGCAACAGCAACTAAAGTTCACTGCATGCTCACCATAGGCCAGGTAATTACTAAACAACTTCCCACATACTATTTCATGTATTCCTTCCAAATACCCATAGGAACAGAATTTTCATCCTCATTCTAGGATAAACAGAGACTCCGAAAGGTTAAGCCTCAGGCCCATGGTCACACAGAATGGAGTCAGGATCTGAGCCACGCCCTGGAGCTAAGGCTCTCAACTGCCGCCTGTGGAGCACTGTCCCCCACAAGCTAACACACTGACCCTGCCCTTCCAGACCACAATAACAGCAGTGATCCTAATCGCAAGGCAAGTGGATTTAATCAAAAGAGAGCTATTACCAAAGCAATGGCTGAAAAGGAGCAATAGCTATTCACAATAATTGTCCATCAGGAATCTTATTAGTAAAAGACAAGTATGAATTGTACTGGAAATTTTAAATCCTAATTTATGAAAATAAAAACTATGTGACTAAGCAATTATATAAACCAGAGAAAAACTCTTTCCTTCTCCTCAGATGCTACGATTGCCACTTCTCACTTAAAATTACAATTTCTGTTGATTATTTAATTAAAGGAGTAGCTACAGACAACGAACCCACAAAGCCCACTTAGATCTTCACTAACAGGAATTTAATTTCTCTATCATTTCTGTGCATCAAGAAAGCTATCCGACAGCTGGTAAAAAGCCTATGCCAAATGTTGCCCATGCTTCCTATAAAGAGCCAGAGAGTAAACGTCTCTGCTTTGCGGGCCACACGGGCTGTCAGGAGCATCCCACTCTGCCACAAGAGGACGGTTGCGAGCCAGAGGTCTATTTACAGAAATGAGGTGTTGGCCACTCGTGTACACCTTCAAGAAATACATCCTCCTCCCTAACTGCAGCTGAAATGCAGGAGACTGCAACGGTAACACATGTATTACCACCATGAAGACAGTGAGCATCCCTGGGTATCATCTTCCAGGAAAATCAAACACCTGCCATCATCACCAAAGGGATTCATGTGGTACTGACACATAGCAAAGATGTTATCTTTTTTAAAATCTCACATACCTTTATTCAAAATATATCAAGCAAAGCACAAATTTAAGAAGTGAGGCTCAGGAGACTGTCCCTGGTGGTCTGTGCAATGTATATTCCTCACTGATAACTCACAGGACTCAAACTACAGTTTAAATATTTTAAGCACTTTAATTCAACAATAAAATGTAACAGTGGCTATCATCTAACGATCCTGCAAAGTCGGGGTTACCGGGGTGCTCTGCCACCCTGCTCTCCCAGCACCAGTTCTACAGCACCAGGCACTTTGCAGTGACTGTCATCTCCCTTCTGGGCTTTTCCTTGGTCGCTTTCTATAGAATCTTCTTTACAATGAGTCAAGATATAGCAGTGCCAATAAAATTCCTGGGTTCGCCCAACAATTATCACATGGGTCTCCTTGTTCTAAAATACTGTGTACCTCTACATATTTTCTAATGTACAAGAATATCAGGTCCCTCAAAAGTTTCGCGTTCACCAATGAGATAGTCTACCACTTGCTGTCCCTCCTTGAGAACAATGGAAAGGAGCCCGAAATGAACTTGCTAAACCCCAAGTCCATCTTTTTGTCTCTGTGCCACTTTTCATGGTTTCTGGTGTCTGTCACAAATACTCTTCCTACAGGGTCTTCCAGTTTTGAAAGCATACTCTTAGCAGAAGTTTATAGGTAGTATCTGCAATAAAATATGTTGGGGCCCTAACCCTTTTCCAAGTTGAAACAATTATAAAACATCAAATTTCAAATGTTTCTAACTATCTACCAATATCCAGCATTTACACATCAAAGGACGCAATTCGAAATATATCTTCCTTAATACACCAATATACCAATATTCTAGGTAGTCAAAATATAGCTTAGGAAAATGCATGTTATTGAGTATACTTATTCCTTACTCGTTGAAGAAGTTTATCTCTGTAGTGTTCTACTTGCTCCTGAAAGCTCTGGCCTGGTTTTTTAGGTCTTTTTCCAGATTCCAATTCATCTTGAAACTTCATAACTTTGAGCTGTGAAGCAAGACATAAATTTTTTCATCACTACAGTTTCTCAAGTACTGCTTGATAAACAAGATAGAAACAGAGGCATGAATACATGGAACAGACTGACAGCTGTCAGAGGGGAGGGAGTGGCACAGAGGTCGGGGGACCAGATGAAAAAAGGTGAAGGGATTAAGGCGCATGCGCACACACGCACGCACACACGAACGATGCAGTGTGCAGATGTTTTATTGGGGTGTACACTTCAAACCGGTATCTCAATACATTTAATTTTAAAAAAAAGAGTCTTTTCTTTGAAACAAGTGTATAAAAAGGACAACATAATATAGCAAAGTAGTAACTGATAAGGACTCTGTCAAAATATAACATCAACAGCCCTGGCTGGTTTGGCTCAGCGGTTAGAGCGTCGGCCTGCGGTCCCGAGAGACCCGGATTCGGTTCCCGCTAAGGGCATGTACCTCGGTTGCAGTTTGTCCCCGGCCCTGGTTGGTCGTGCGGGTGGCAACCACTCGATGTGTCCCTTTCACGTCGATGTTTCTCTCTCTCTCTCTCTTCCTCTCTCTCCCTCCCACTCTATCTGTGCAAAGAATGGAAAAATGTCCTCTGGTGAGGATGAAAAAAAAAATATATAACATCAACATAAAACCCCTGTGAAAGCCATTTGTCAGACAAGCCCAGCTCTTCAGAAGTCAAGTGCACAGGCGACCACATGCCCTCTGCACAGCCATGTACAGTGACTCAAAAGCATGAATGTGGTTCATGCCCTGAAGAGCTTATTTCAACACAATAATAATGAATTTGGTATCTGGTTCCCCAATGGTCTACATTTTAAAATTAGAATTTGATTCACAATGCAAATCCCAAAAGGGTAATTTGTAGGAGGGAAGCACTACAAAAGCAAAGAAATAATCGCCAAGCATCTAGCAAAGAAAGGAGACCAGATTATCAGAGAGCACAAAGTATGGAAATGTGAGTGCACACACACACATCACATATGTACACACACATCCAAATCAACAAAAAAGCTGTATTACAACTTTCTTCTCTTTAAGCCAATCAGGAAATAGAATATTAAAGAATGATCAAACAGTCTGTTCTGGCACTTTTAATTATCAAAATGTCCCTTCAATTATTAAGAAAATATATTTCGATGAGTTCAATCTTTGTTTCTACTCCAGCAGTTCCACAGGGTTAGGGAAGCAGAGCTCAGCAAGGCTGGGAGGAAATCTGAGTGAGGAAGGGCACGTGCAGTACGAAAGGGGCAACAGTGAGCACATTCACTGACACCTAACACCTCAGGTCCCTAAAAACTCTAGAGTGTAACTGAACACATCCCAGGAAAAATAAATCAGCCTAACTCTGAAATCCCTTCTCTAAATTAACAATTAACACCAGATGATTCGGTGTAAGGTAAACAAAATGCTTTGTTTGGTGATTACCTGAGAAAGAGGTGGACAAGAACGTGTGCCAGCCCAGCACTGAGTAGGTGGAGAGGTGGAAATACGGTAACGAACTACCAGTAAGTAAGAGAAATCGCACTGACAGAGCAGGCATTCAAAAAAAATACAGTTAAATGAATGACAGAGTATTAAAATTCACTCAGGTACACTTTTTCCTTTTTTTATATTTTTATTAGAGAGAGAGAGGGAGAGGGAGAGAGAGAAAGAGCAACATGAGAGTGAAACATCGACTGGCTGCCTCCTGGATGCCCCCTACTGGGGATGGAGCCTGCAACCCAAGCACATGCCCTGAGCGGGGGATCAAACCAGCAACCTTTCGGTGCCATAGGGCGATGCCCAACTGAGCCACACTGAGATTCTGGACTGACTGCTACACCACTGCTAACATTTATTGGGAATGTTTCATCACCTTAGGGCAAGGAACAGAAAGGAAGGTTCCATTATAAGATCCTTCCCTCTGACATGTTGAATACCTTCAGTAATAAACAGAAGCATTAAAAAAGGAGAGCAACGGAGGGAGGGAAGAGCTGCTGGAGATAGTTTGGACTCTCCCATAAGCTTTTCTCCTTCTTACTGCTAAGCCCCACTTAATGTCCACTCTCTCCCCATCACTAAAGGACACAGACACTTAAAATTAGCATATTGTAATAAAATGTACACATAACTTGAACATGCCAGAAAATATATCTCACTTTTCTTTTATGTTTTTATTGATTTTTAGAAAGATAGGAAGGGAGAGATAGAAACATCGATGAGAGAAACATCAGTGGGCTGCCTCCTGGACGCCCCCCCACTGGGGATCAAGCGTGCAACCCAGGCATGTGCCCTGACCAGGAATCAAACCAGTGACCTCTTGGTCCATGTGTCGACGCTCAATTGAGCCACACTGGTCAGGCTGTGCCACTTTTCTTATATTCTATGTACACTCTCAAATGTAATGGATTTCACAATGTCAGATACAATCTATTTATTAGAATCAATATCTTCAGAGGATCTCTTATGTGCCAGGTACCAGAGATACAGTAACAGACAGAAAACATTGTCCTTTTCCCTCATGAATATCACAGCCCAGTGGGAAATAGAAATTAAACAAGCAAGCAAGCAAGCAAGCAAGGGGAAAAAAACCCACAAGACATAATACACACAAAAGAGATAAATTGGGGGAAGAAAATCCAGACAAGTAAGAAAAAATCCAGACAAGGGGAGGAGGGATGCAGAGGCCTTAAAGGAAGTCAGCTGGTATAACAATTTCTAGGCAGAAAGGGAACAGGATGTACCAAGGTGTGATGCCAAGAGGAAGCCTAGTTCAGCAGAAGAAGTGAAATGCTGGTGCAGTTTCAATTTCATTGCAGTACCAACCTCAATTTCACGAAGTTTGGCTCGTTTTTCCTCACTCATTTCAGAGTACTTGGAGAACTTGGACTCAGTCATTTCTTCTTTGATTGGATTAGAGTACACGTGATGTTCTTCGGATTTGGAACTCTGAGTATCTTCTTCATCTTCACTTTCTTCTTCTTGACTTTGAAAATAAGCAGAATATATTGTATATGTCAAGGCAGCAAAAAAAAAAAAAAAAAGAAGTTATATTTTACAGTCTGGATTAAATTACCTTAGAGCTTAAATAATGTTAGCAAAACATAAAAGGAAAACTCACCACTAAAACATTTTTTACAAAATATTTGATCAAATAATATAGACAGTTTAATAAAACTGTTTCCTCCACAAAAAATGTTTGGACTTCCACATAACCGTATTTTTTAAATTTTTGCTTACGTTAACTAACATTATGTGTGTCTTTCATTCTGCAACAAACTTTCCCTGTAGCAGTTAAGTGAAATCCAGTTCAGAGTAATTTCACCCAGCTTAATGTTTAAGAAGCCCAAGTGTTTACCCTCCCCTATTCGATAAAACCTATAAACTAGAAGATATGTCAGTTTGAGGCACACAGATTTGCTACAAAACAATTAATGCATCATGTAAAAACCTTACTTGATTAGCATTATAACCCCCGGAATAAAGAAAGCAATGTGTAAATTTTAAATATTTGTACACACTAATGATTCTGAAAGTTGTGCTGGTTCTTTGCCAGTTAAAACGAAAAACTAAGTGACTGCCATGGGTAGAGATACAAAGAAATGTCTCCTGTCCTTCCAGAAGAAATCTAGTGGAAACAGACAGGCAGGCAACGATGTGTAAAGCTGGTCATCATTACTAGACTAGGATTAACAAAATGTTCTTTAAGCACACAAAAAATGAAGGGGCTTTTTAAAAAGCTGTGTGTTGTGTGTTTGGGCTTTGTGTGTATGTTAAATCTGGCAAAACAAGTCATCCTTGTATAAACAAACTCAGAATGTTTTGTATATAAACAAAATTCCTTATAAACAATATTGTATACTAATATCACTGGCTTAACCTAGTAAATATGCTATTTCTCTTTAATATTTGAGCCTGAGAAGCCCTTATATATTGCTATTTGGGTACTAAGTACACTCTACCATAAGTAGGAGTCCTTTTAGCATACATATAAAACAATCCATAATAATGTAAAAAGTTATAACCAAATTCTTTCCAAATAAAAATGTCATTATTTTAGAGTCTGATAATCAGACTTGCACACTGAGTGAGAAAAATGTAAGCAAGGAAGATAAAAATAAAGTACTGGCAATTTAGAATCAGAAAAGATATGTTACTAAAGAGAAAGCTAGCTTTTTAATTTCTCATCCAAAGGTCCTTTCCAGAACATTACTAAAATGCTTTATAAATGTAATACCTGAGTCCACAAATCATTAGTACTACATATAGGTACAACTCAATACAATACATAGGTAAGGAGAAAGAGTCAAAACCAACTATAAAAAAAAAAACCTACATTATTTTTGGAAATAAACCTTTCACTTACTATTTCTCATTAATTTGTAAGAAACTTCCTAAATGTATTTTTTAGTTAATTTTTTAAACATACACATTTCTGCTCTGGCTGGTTTGGCTCAGCAGTTAGAGAGTGTCAGCCCACAGACCAATGAGTCGCGGGTTCGATTCTGGTCAAGGGCACACATCTTGGTTGTGGTTAGGTCCCCAGCCCTGGTCGGGTTTGTGCAGGAGGCAACCAGTCGATCTGTCTCTCTCATATCAATGTTTCTTTCTCCCCACCCCCCAACCTTCCTCTGCCGCCCCGCCCCCCCCACTCTATCTGAAGAGAAACAGAAAAATACCATCGGTGAGGATTAAAACTGTGTGCGTATATTAAGTTTTACTGAAGAATTATTCTGGAAAAGGTCAATCAATAAGGACGTGACCCAGTTAAACTGTAGTGATATGTAATGAAAATTACTTAAATTCCAGCCTGTTACCTGTTTCGACTTTTTTCGTGATTTCAAATATTCCTTGATAAACTTCCTTGTGTATTTACCTTCATGGTTGCTTTTAAACATAGATGACTACAGAGCAGATAAGTATGTAGAGTGACATGACACTACAGTGACAATATGGGTCACAAAATAGTATGTACAGAATTATATAATTTATGTTGAAAACAATACGCATGTTTTTTTTTTTTTAAATCCTCACCCGAGGATATTTTTCCATCTATCTTCAGACAGCGAGAGAGAGAGAATCGATGTGAGAGAGACACATCGATCTGCTGCCTCCTGCACGACCTCAACCAGGGCCAGGGACGAACCAAAACTGAGATACGTACATGCCCTTGACCAGAATTGAATCCACGACTCTTTGGTCCACAGGCCTACGCTCCAACCGCTGAGCCAAACTGGCCAGGGTAATACGCATATGTTTCTAGAGAAAGGATCTAGATGGTTGGACACTAAACATTAACCACATTATTAAGACTTTAAAATGAGGTACGCTATACACTTCAATAACTTAACATGTATAATATTTTAGAATTGCTATTTTAAGTTTTCAAGGCCCAAGTAGTGTGTTATAATTGGTTCTGACTTTAGCTCCTCAGTTACCAATTCTAGGTTCACATCTGAGCACAGCTTCATCTTGCTCTTCTTTAAAGAAATAAAAATTCAAGACTCTAAACCCATACAGATTTCATTACAAATGAGGTTATATTACTACTTGGTATTTTTCGCCAAAGCATTCATGGTGCTATATATATTTTTAAGTCACATTTCTGCCACAAATACAATAATTACTAGTTTCAAAAAAGTAGCTCCTTAGTAAAAAGGCATTTTGGATTCAGCCACTAGAGAGCAGTAGTGAGACATAGGAAAATTTTAAGGATTAGAAAATTGTATGAGAAAAAATATTTTTCCTTGCTTTGTACTCATAAAATCATTTTTATTCTAATTTATTCAGAGCTCCCAAAAAAATAAAAAATATAAATTATGTTTTTAATAATCCATCTGTATGGAAGTATGATGAATCTATTCTCAACACTACAATGCATTTCCATTCCAAACATTAACACAAATATTACATTTATGCAAAAAATTACTATCTTTAGAAACAAAACCAGTTGAACAATATTTGAGTCCTGCAATGGCTTCTCTACCCTTCCTTCCTAAATCTAACCACCGTTCTATGAGCACACACTCACTCTAAAGCAGCGGCCCTGCAATGGCGAGCTGCTGCTAATGGATTCTAGATGTGTGAAACAGTTAAGGAAATCACTGTTTTAAAGTGAACTGACTTGTTCCCTCTACTCCTTAGCAGTTTCAGATGGGTATTTCCATCAGTAAACCACATGTATATCCTGTAGTGATTTATCATAACCATTGCTGACTTGTTCTGATCACACCAACGTTTATGGAAAGGCATTCCTGTTACCATGTTTTCCTCAGCATATCCAATTGTTTCCACAAATGTGGATCATTCACATTTCCTTAACAATCTAAATGCTACTAATAACCACACACCAAATCCATACAAATGCCCAATTTATGCTGGGACACACAGGTCTCAGAATGGAAGAGAGGCAAGGATACAGAGAAAGAGAAACATCGATGTGAGAGAGACACACTGATTGGTTGACTCCCACATGACCCCAACAGGGGCCAGGCACGTGCCCTTGACCAGAAATTGAACCCGAGACCCTTTCGTCTGAGGGCCAAAACCCTAACTGCTAAGCCACATGGGCCAGGGCACAAAGGTCTCTTTGTTCATTCTTCCATTTGAGAGCAATAAAAGACCAAAGATTTAAAAAACCAGAAACCACTTCTTTGTGTCCCTGAGGTCATCTCTTTTCCTATTTAAAAAAATTACCTCCTGCCCCCCTGGCAAGTTTGGCTAGGCGGTTAGCACTGGCCCACAGACCAAAGGGTCTCAGGTTCAATTCCTGGTCAAGGGCAAGTACCTGGGTTGCAGGTTTGATCCCCGGCCTTGGCAGGAGGCAACCAATCGATGTGTCTCTTTCATACTGATGTTTCTCTCTCTTCCTCGCTCCTTCCCTTCCTTCCATTCTATCTAAAAATCAATGAAAAAATATCCTTGGGTGAGGATTAACAAAATAATAACAACAACTTCCTATGTAATTATTTTAAAAGGTTTCAAGTACTATCTAAAACCTACTAATATAAACTTGCAGAAGAATTTGGGAGCAGGAATTCCTCTAATTATATTTGGTGTTAAATGCAAAAACAATTTTGAGGTAATTACTAAAGAGCAAAATTCAAAAATATTTTTTTATGCACTGAGGGATTTTTTTCCCTTTTAATCTTAGTTTTTTTGAGGTTTTTGCATTTAAACATAACAGAATGGTCATAATGCAATATGCACTTTCCCAGCAATGCATAATACAAAAGAAGCATAACCTTCTTATTCGCATTTTAATAATCACATTCTGTGAAGCCAAAGCAAAGATTTAAAATAAATGCAGGTGACCATTCAGTAACTACAAAGTGAGAATGTAATACCTAGCATAGAAAATAAATTCAAAAGCAAAGTGAAACCAGATGCAGCAAGACCAGAAACCTAAAGCTCCTTATTCACTGGAAAAACAATGGAGAACTAAAAATGATCCTCTTAACAAGGTTTTTAACAGTGAAGTTTCCCTCTTTGCTATTATTTCAAGTACCTTTTAATGAAAAAGGGAGCACATATGCAATAGGAAACTGAGTATATTCAAAACTTAGATTCTTAGATTCTTACTTTTGATTTTCTTCTTCTTCTGATTCTTCATGCTGGTCAAATAACTCCCATTTAGAAGTTGTAACAGCTGAATGAAAGGGGGAAAAAGATGTAATTCCATAAGGTAAATTAGCATTTTTGCAGAAGCTTAGTAGAAGCCCACCTTTGGAACTGAAATTTTATATTACAGAGGTTATCTACATTTATCTGTCCTTTGAATGGCCATTTCTATGCTAAATCTGTTTCTTTCCTCCTCACACCTACACTATACTTCTATTCAAATTCATCAAGTGACAAATAATGTTTTCCTTATTTCTGTGCTGGATGATATTTCATTAGAACTTACAAATATTAACAATTACAGATTATAAGCACTAGGATACATGTCCAAGTAAGTATGAAAGGAAGATCTAATAAGTCAAGCACTATGGGAGGGTCAAAGCTTGGTTTCTCTGAAACTGACCTCTACGCAGATTTCCAAACAGGTAAAGCTTCCCATCTACATTTTCTACTCAACTCCCTTAACCTGAAAGGTTTTTAGTGATTTCTCTAATTACTCTCAAAGCATAAAAACAGAAAGATCTAAGAAAATTATAACAGGTACTACAATGAAAACTTAGCCCCTAGATATAAATATAGAACACTAAGGTCTTAAGGTTGAAATATTGGAAAACACACACACACACCAATGATTGATTTTAAGTACTGAATTTTCTAAAACTCAGTATGTTTTTTACTCACCCTGTGCTTCCAACTCAGATTCATCTACAGCTTCCCATTTTGATGGGGCAACTTTAAATATAGGCTCATTCTTCTTTGAATCTTCAGTCGCATCCACTATTGAGGAAAGATAAGCCATTAAACATAACTTCTAGAAGATAACCTAAATTAAATAGTTTATGGGTATTCACTGTATCAGTGATTTTCAACCGGTGTGCTATGAATTTTTAAAACATGCAATACCTATTTTTTGTTGTTGTTGACAGATTGGCAAAAAGTTTATTTTGGTGTGCTGCAGAATTTTAGTAATTAGTTTATGGGCATGCCATGAGATGAAAAGGTTGAAAATTGCAGCAATATATTATTAAAAAGTAAAATAAGGCCATAGGTGGACTAATAATATTAGTGTCAAAAGCAAGGATTATGACTAATCCTATTCTCTGCACCTGAGATCCAATTTTTAAACAGTATACATATCAACTCAACATGTAGGTCATCATTATTTCAAGCAAATGAAGAAGGAAGTAAAAGCATCTTTAATACCTTTATTTAATTACTGTTTAGAACACAGATTTCATATATCGTGCAATATCTTAACATAATTCAAATGTAATGAAGATTGTGTATAATTCTTATTCCCAAAACTGGATATTTGGCAGCTAGGAAAACTAACCCTATTAGTTAGGAAGACTAATAATAAAAACAGGCATCTGGTATCATGAATACCATTGAGTACAAGATTTTACCTTTGGTTTCCTGACAAGACAAAAAGAGAAGCTTGCTAATATAAAAGGCTAAATGTCCCAACAAAGAAATGTGACCAGAAAGAATATTTTTTTCTTGACACAGACAACTGTATTACTTATAATTGAATTTTGAGAGGACAGAAATAAAAACCCAAAAAGTCAATGACTGCCTGGCAGGTGTGGCTCAGTGGTTGAGCGTCAATCCAAGCACCAAGAGGTTGCTGGTTTGATTCCTGATCAGGGCACATGCCCAGTTGTGGGCCCAATCCCCAGTGGGGGGCATGCAGGAGGCAGCCGATCGATGTTCTCTCTCATTGATGTTTCCATTTCCCTCCCTCCCTCTCCCGTCCTCTCTAAAAAAAAAAAAAAATCAATAAAGTTGGAAAAAAAAAAAAAAAGTCAATGACTGATACCTTAATCAGAAATTATAACCTTTTCCCATATCAACTGGTGTGGAAATTAAAGAGTTTTGGAATCAAACTTATTAGCTAGATTTAATCAGTCTGAAATCTGAACTTACGAGGCACTCCATCAAGATCATCATCAAAACTCTTTATAGGGACTCCATCAAGATCATCGATGGGAGTAGCATCAATAGGAATTCCATCCACATCTTCTAAAGGTGCACCATCAAGCTCTTCCTCAATAGGGGCCCCATCAAGGTCATCTGGTACATCCTATGGAAGCACATACACTACATTAACACTTTCTTTAACTTGTTGAAGTCACACTGCTAAAGATTAATTTGCAGTACAAAACAAACCACATTCCCAGGTACAATGTGAGAACATAAAAGTGTATTTTATCATCCAATCTAACAAAGAACAGCAGTCATTTATGCATTATTTATCAAATATTAACCAAGTACTTACTGATACCAGGTTTCATGTGAGGCACTAAGAATACAATGATGAGTGAAAAACTAGCTTGGTCCCCTGGTCCCTTCTGTCACAGATCTTAGACTGTGGGGGGAGGGGAGAGCCAGATACTCACAACAATATACATATAACTGCAACTAGGACGAATGCTGTAACGAGGTGTCATACTACTACAGCACATAATAAGTAGATACACATAATAAGTAGGTTTCACCTAAAGAGGACAGAGAAGACTCTACGAAGTTATGCTTAAACTGAAGTCTGAAGAATCTTGGGTAAAAAAAAAACAACAGATGTTCCAGAAAGAGAACAAACCATGTGCAAAGATCTATGGTAAAAGGAAACACTGTACATTGAAGGAAAAAAAGAAAAAAGAAATGAAACAAGGACAATGTGGTTGTAGGAACACCAACTAGGAGGATCTTATAAGAATGCAAGTGAAAATATGACAGCTAGATTGTAATTATAAAGATGAAGGGCTCTGCCCAGCCGGTGTGGCTCAGTGGTTGAGTGGTGACCCATGCACCAAGAGGTCGTCAGTTTAATTCCCGGTCAGGGCACATGCCCAGGTTGTGGGCTCCAACTCCCGTTGGGGACATGCAGGAAGTGACCAATCGATGTTCTCTCTCATCGATGTTTCTCTCTCCCTCTCGAAATTAATAAAAAAAGAAAAAGATGAAGGATTTAAGAACTACTGAGGAGGTAAAAAGCAACAGAATGGTGATAAACAGAATCCATCATTGTGGTACATCTTTTCATGTACATGTTTACTTATATAGCTATCTTTAATCTAACAAAATAAAATCGAGCTACATATATCACTCTATTATTTGCTTTTTTCCTTCTAGTATACTATAAATCTTTTCATGTCGTCAAAAAAAAAAACAGTCACTGCCCTAGCCAGTTTGGCTCAGAAGTTAGAGCATCAGACCATGGACAAGAGAATCTCGGGTTGGGTTCTCACTAAGGCACGCACCTCAACTGCAGTTTGTCCCTGGCCCTGGTTAGGGTCGTGTGGGTGGCAACCACTCAATGTGTCTCTCTCACGTCGATATTTCTCTCTTTCTCTTTCTCCCTCTTTCCTTCCCGCTCTATCTGAAGATAGATGCAAAAATGTCCTCGGGTGAAGATAAAAAAAAAAAAGTCACCAATTTTCATGTAAGGACACAAAACAGAGAATTCCTATTACAAATAATTTCAACTCCTGGGTTCTAGCAATTCCAGTAACAAAATCCATGAAACGTTACATCTGTAATATATCACATCTCCAAAGCATCCCCAAAAATAAATTTTGAAATAATCAGACAAGGCCCTGGCCTAGTAGCATGGCCCCTATACACCAATGTTATCCTGGGTCAGGGCACATGTAAAAATCAACCAATGAATGCATAAACAAGTAGAACAAATCAATGTTTCTCTCTCTCTCTCTCTCTCTCCTTTCCTCTCTTTCTCTCTATAATCAATAAATAAAATAATCAGACAAATACATTGAGTGCCTACCTCTGTTTCCTTTTCTTCAATAATATTTACAAGTCCTAAGAAAATATTTTGTAGTTTGATCAAAAATGGTTCTGGATAAATTGCCCAATCTTCCCATGCTCTGAAGCAGGTCATTACCCGTTGCTAAATAAATAGGAAAAACAACAAAATTATTTAGGACAGTATGTCTCAAACTTCATCTCATGAGAATAAACAGCACAATTGCTGAATTTTTCTTTAAAACTAACATTCTTTTTAAAATTTAAAGAAAATAACAATCATTGACATGTTTAAAAGCAAATCAATGCCCACCTTTTTATTTAAATAAAATCATACAAACATATATAAATATAATGAAAAAGAAACAGTAGCTATTTGCTCCTGATCATCAAAGATCAATGTCCCACACATACCACTAGTGGTACTTATGAGGCCACGTTCTGGGAAACGTTATCTTAGAAACTTACGAAGACTAGATAGACAGGGTAGGCAAGTTTTGACCCAAATTCTTTTATGGTCCAATGAAGTACTTCCTAATTCTGGCTAACACTATTTTTCTGTCCCATCCCTAAACCTCTCTACATAAACTCTGACTTAAGGTCAACATTTAAGTTAAAAAATTTTGAAATGGAGTTGTTTGTTTGAACCCCTTAAATGGTGGGGTCATTAGGCATCTCCCCAAGCTAAAAATTTTCCTTACAAAAGTCTTCTTCCCATGAAAATATATCTATTTATTCAATTATAAGGTATTTTGTTTGGATTTTCTTAACAGTGGTTTACAGCTTAAGAGGTTATAAAAATAAGTCATGCATATACTTTGTAACATGAATAACTAAAATCTATGTCCCTAATCCAGCCAAATTATAAAAGTCATGGGCTGCTTAACAACAGGGATGTGTTCTAGGAAATGCATCGTTAAGTGATTTCATCACTGTGCAAAGATCACAGTGCATTTACACAAACCTACATGTACAACTTCTACACTCCTAGGCTGTAGCCTGTGCAGCACATTACTGTATAAAAATAAGATTAAATCAAGCAAAAGAGAAAATGATATTCAAGAGATTTGTGAGGCTGCTGCCAGGTAACACAACATACTTTTTACAGCAAACTTATTTTTTTAGTAAAAAGAGTATACACTAAAATAATTAATAAAAGTATAATATACACACAAACCAGTAACACAGTCATTTATTATCATTATCAAGTATTAGGACCATACATAATTGTATGTACTATACTTTTATGTGACTGATAGCACAGCAGGCTTTTTATACCATCTTTACTACAAACATGAGAATGTGTTGCACAAATGTGTTGCACTACATGTTATGATGGCTACAATGTCACTAGGTTAGGAATTTTTCAATTCCATTATAATCTTATGGAACCACTGCTGTCTTTTACTGATACGTCCTTCTGTAGTGCATTCCTGTACACCATTGCAAAATAAGTGATCTTCTGAATGTGTTTTCTGAAAAGACTAATATGCAACGTATTTAAATAAAATACTTAAAACTGAAACAAACACTCAACAAAATAACACTAGATAACATATTTTTAAATTTCGGGTATTTTTTTAAAGGAAGGTAACAACACTGTAGTAAATTTTAGAACAATAATTTCTCCGGACCGCAGGCCAATGCTCTAACCGCTGAGCCAAACCGGCCAGGGCTAGAACAATAATTTCTGAAACATGCAACTCATGTTTTAGACTTGTCCATGTACTTCTCTCGCCCTCTAACGTGCTTCTCAGCTTCCAGACCCATATTCAACACAAAGGCAAAAATAATAAAACAGTAAACATACCTTAAAGTTTTCAGACTGTAAATGTCCTTGAATAGTACGATAGGTAGCATTGAGGTCTGAAAATATCTGACATAACTTTGTTTCAAAACTGAAATTGAAATAATATAATCTTTACAAATGAATTTGTTTAAAAATCCCTATCTCCTTCGGCATGCTACCCAAACTCCTCCTGAACCTTAAAAAAAAAAAACTTAAAAATTAAGAACTAGGTGTTTAAACTCTAAAACTATAATTAAACTTCTATAACTCGTAATTCCAAAATGTTCTCCTGTAAAATCCCCAAAAGAGTCTTGCGTTGTCGTTCCCTTGATTAGCAAGGGACTTTACATATAGGACACTATGAGGCACCTAGTCTGATATTTTTGTTTTATATAAAAGGAAACAAAAGAGTCAGTGACTTTTCCAAGGCAAAAAAACTAATAGCAGAGCTAAGATTAGAACCCACACCTCCAAATTTCCTTTCAGAGTTCGTTATTGAAGAAAAACTTCCTAATTCATAAAATAAACACCAAAAGGAACTCTGGGGAATCATGGAAGCATTCTATGTGAACTACAGCGCAACAACATAATTCCCAATTGCCTAGGAAAATATTAGCAATGAACTACAAAACAATGACGATCAGAAGAAAACATATTTTATAGTTAATGCTTTTGTCTTTTCCTTTATGTCTGCCATTGTTTCAGCTTATTTATTATACAAGTAGGTAAATATTCAATAAAACAGTGTTACTTTTTAACTGTTCCTATTTGTCTTATCAAGTTAACTAAGAAACTAATATAAAAACTTTCAAAAAACTGCTAATTGAATGCAATCCAAATTTTTAGAATAGTGTATGACTACAAAGAAATTCAAGTTATTTTTTTTTTTATTTGAGGATGTTAACAAAACAGTCCTCCTCTCTTCTGAACTCTTTACCCTTAAAGATTTTTATCTCAGAAATATCATTTTACATCATTATACTTACAATTTTCTATAATATGAAGCATTGGCAACTTTTGCTGAAGAATTGTACAAAACATCAGAAACCAAATATAATCTGGCAATCTAGAATACCAAAAGATAACATAAAACCAATTAAAAATAAAAACCATCAGCAAACAAAGTATATAGAAAAGAATCTCATATTGCATTTTTTTATATGGAACGCTTCACGGATGTGCATGGCATCCTCGCGCCGGGGCCATGCTCATCTTCTCTGTATCGTTCCAATTTCAGTCTACGTGCTGCCAAAGCGAGCAACCCATAGTGAATTTTTTGAAATCAATGTCATAGGCTAATGTTTATTTAAATTTAATAATTATAACTAATTATAATAGTTATAAGAAAGTCAACATCACCACAACCATGACTTCTGCACAAATAAGATTTGTAACTCATTTACATTTCAACCTATTGATAACGTGTGTCAATTAACATAACAAGACTACATAGGAAAAGATTTCTTAGGTCAAGTTCTCCATGCAAAATTTCAATCCAAAGAGTCAACTATTATCTCCCCTTTTACTTAATTAAATGTTCTATAAAGAAAAACCATTCCTATACCTTTTTGGGAAGGGGTGTCTTTAAGATCGACAATGACTCAGTAATGCAATCCACTATTTCTTCAGCAGCTTCAGCGTTATTAAGACAGAAAACCATTGCATCTCCAATATCATTTTTCCTTGGAGTTAACCCCCGCAAGATTTCTTCTAATTTGTCCCTCTGTCTAAAAACAAATTTCATAAATTTATAAATATTTACAAGTACAAATTTCAAATGGCATTATAGTTTGTGCTCATAAACTAATTTCTTTAAAACCCAATCTGACAAATTGTGTTAAATCTGATTTGTAACAAGTTCCCCAAATATGTTACATTTTTGGAAGAACTTATATGAGAAAGAATAATTTTCCTGGCCTTAAACTAATAAATGATTCCAGTGATTTTTTTTATATATATGCTTTTAATGATTTTTTTTGAGAGATTAAGAGGGAGATAGAAACATTGATCAGCTGCCCCCTGCATGCCCCCTACTGGGGACTGAGCCCACAAGCCAGGCACGTGCCCTGACTGGGAATCGAAACATCAACCTCTTAGTGTATGGGACAAGGCTCAATCCACTGAGCCACACCAGCTGGACGATTCCAGTGATTTTTAGTTTACAAATTAAGTAAATTTAAAATTATGGGCATTTTTTTTAAGAGCATTTAAGAGTATCCAGTCCTATTACCCCACTACATTTAAAAAGAACTTTCATGTTCTTTACTTCCTTTGAAGGAAGTCTGATTTTAGCACTTATACACAGCATTAGGACAGGCTAGAGCAGGGACTGACAAACCTCCCATCAAGGACCAGAGAGTCAATTATTTCAGGTTTTGCAGGCCATGTGGTCTCTGTCAGTTACTCCACTCTGCTAATGTAACACCACAGCAGCCACAGACAGCATGTAAAGGAATAACCACGACTGTGTTCCAATAAAATTTTATTTACAAAAACAGAAGGCAGTCAAATTTAACCTGTAGGCTCAGTTTGTGGACCCCTAGGCGAAAGTAATGATGAACATACATCTTCAGAAGTAAATATACTTTTAAATATTACACTTCTCCATTACCAAATGCCTTCACAAACAATGCATCAGTACAACTAGATTAAAATTTATAGACTATGCAGTGAAGTATATAATCCTATATGCTAAAAATTCTTTTTCCTTGAAGTACACAGAACTTCCTCTGAACATTTTTTTATTAATCCTCACCCAAGGACATATTTGCATTTATCTTCAGATGGAGCGGGAGGGAGAGTGGGAGGAAGAGAGAAAGAGAGAAAAACATCAGTGTGAGAGACACATTGAGTGGCTGCCACCCACACGACCCCAACCGGGGCCGGGTTCAAACTGCAACCAAGGTACGAGCCCTTAGTGGGAACCAAACCCAGGACTCTCCGGTCTGCGGGGCGACACTCTAATCGCTAAGCCAAACCAGCCAGGGCTCTCTGAACCTTTAATAGTTAAATTTATTTCTTCTTTTTTATTTTCTCTAAAAATAATTCATTTGTTTCTGATCACAAGGTACAGGGAAGGCAAAGGGTGATGCCTGTGACTCGGGCTGTCCATCCATTCTCAGCACCTGCAATTCTTGTACAACACAAGGTTCATCCTGCCCCCAAGCATACGTTCATATCCTAACAGCTGCAAAGTACAGAATCTGACCATGTAGGAAGTTTAAACATGAGTTTTCCAGCTTACTTGTAAATACTAAAATGGAACTAGTTGTCCTAACTACTGATTTCCTAAAATTCTCATCAATGAGTAAGTCACAGGCAAATTATGCCTCTGCAGCTCTTAGAGCCATTTCAACTTTATAAAAGGCATTTCAGAAACAGCAGTGACTAAGACCCCTTCTGTGTTCCCAGTCCTCTAAGGCCCATAGTGCCCGCTGCCTCAAACTACAGCCCCTGGAAATACCCTACATCCTAAGGCACGATGGAGGAAGGGCAGGCCAGGCCCAGCATGAGGACTGTAACTGCCAATTTTACTGGGCTCAGACCAGAAGTCCATGCGTCTTGAGGACCCTCTGTGTATGTGTCAATTTTCTTCACATTCTTTTCAAACTGTTCCATAGCCTCATGAGCTGTTTTTCCTTCCAGCAACATTGATCTTGGCCTTCTCCTTCTCCTCCTCCTCCAGAGTGACTGTGCCTGCCTGGTACACTTCCAGCTAACCTCATGAGCCAGATGTCCTAGGTAGGCAAACTTCCGTGTAGGCTTCTGACACACAACCTTGAGGGCAGCAGGAACTATCATTCGATTTTTCTTATCATAGGGTGGCAGGATCCTATCAAACACCCTGAGGAGGTCCAAGGTGGCCTGGCCTCACTTGGTCTTATGTAGCAGCATGCCTCCGATGGTCCGCCAAAGGATGCGGCTGGGCCGAGAAGTGTTAAGGACCATGGGAGGGGTTGATGTTCGTCTGCTGGCAAAGGAAAACCAGGTACTACAACTTGTTTCTATAAAAACTGCCAGAAATGTTGATGCCCTCACAGCATACAACCACCGTCATCTGGCCCAGCAGTAATCTGCCTGGACACAATGGCCACCAGGCACCCAGGAGATGGCCTTGGCCACCGAGCACCAGGACCTGCCCCTCGGCCACCTTCAGCAGTCACCTGGGAAAAGATGTTTCTGCTTCTTAAACCAGGCTAACTTCACTGTGCCAGAGCAGACTGAGCACTAATAAAAACATATGTGTCCATGGTGGCCACACACTGCATACTCTGTAGAGAGACTTCAACAGTCAACCATGTGACCTCCCTAAACCATATGATAATTTTCCTCTTTACGTTGCATTCATTGAGGCAAGAATTCTAAGACTCTCAAGATTATTTCTATAAGAAACCAAAGTATTTCACTGCTAGAGAATCACTGCTTAAAAGATCATCACAGCCCTGGCCGGTTTGGGTCAGCGGTTAGAGCGTTGGCCTACAGTCCAGAGAGACCCGGGTTCGGTTCCCACTAAGGGCACGTACCTCAGTTGCAGCTTGTCCCCGGCCCTGGTTGGGTCGTGCAGGTGGCAACCACTCGATCTGTCCCTTTCACGTCAATGTTTCTCTCTCTCCCTCCCACTCTATCTGAACAAAATATAGAAAAATGTCCTCGGGTGAGGATTAAAAAAAAAAAAAGATCATCACAGCCCTGGCCAGTTTTGCTCAATGGTTAGAGTGTCAGCCAGTGGACTAATGGTTCGAATCCAGTCAAGGACACATACCTCAGTTGCAGTTCATCCCTGGGACTGGTCAGGGCCTTGCGGGGGCAACCAGTCAACATATCCCTCTCATGTTGATGTTTCTCTCTCCCTCTCTCTCTCTCCCACTCTACCTGAAGATAAATAAAAACTGTCCTCACGTGAGGATTTAAAAAAAAAAAATCACAAATTTTATCAGTAGGAAGAGGTCAAAGTCAATAGGGCACACATTTATACTTGCTAAGATGTTTAACACATATAAAAAATTTATTTTAAGGTTAACAACTTAGACCATTAATTAAAGCAACCATTAAAAAGACTTTTCTGAATATGGAACAGAAATGAAAAAAATCTTACTCTTCCTTAAGTGCTCCCTTTTTACTAGGTTCCTCTACAAAAGCTTCTGTTTCTTGCTCTTCTGACATCCCATGCAGGTATGGATTTAATGGTGGTGGCCTCCAAAAAGATCCATTTTTGAACATACGAAAATCTTCCGTCCGCCACTTAGTTGGAGAATCTCCCTAATAAAAACCCAGAATGTTATTAGAAAGCTCCAACACCTCAGTGAAAATTAACAAGGTAATTGATTCTACTTGCCTGCAGAATAGAATAAAGCTTCCACCTATAGTAAACATGGGCTGGTGTCTGGTTTTCAAATAAGAATCTGAAATAAAACAAATTAAACATCTTTAACGAAGAACTATATTCAAGTAAATATAAACAAATGAGAAATATTATTTGCCCACTTAGTTCTAAATGAAACCAAAAGCAAAGATCCCTGAAGAGAAACCCATACGCATGTCATGTGCCACCTATGCCCTTCCTCAGCCCAGCCTGACTGCTCCATGACTGACATTGACATTCAAAATGTGCCAGACACCATATTTGACAATGAAGAGATTTTCCTAAGATATCATTTTAAAGTGTTTTTTAAACTACTTAAGAATGTTAAATGAATGTCTTAGATATAACTAATTCAGAAGATAAGCAATTTCCTACAAGTCTCATTTGTTCTACATCTCACTTATGAAAGACTTTTCCATTGAAAAGCAAAATGAAATGTATTTTCCTCCTAGAGAATGCTAAAAACAATGCTATTTCATGAACTAAATCAAAATCAGAAGGAAAACCGACCGAAGGACATTCTAGTTCAATTACTAAAACTGCCTTTTCATCCCACTGTAGAAATAACCTAATACTTTTAGAACTTTATTCTTGGAAATATTTTTAATTCCAAAATAAAGCAAAAAGTATTTTAAAATTCATACCTGATGATAAATGAAATGTGGTACATACATGCAATGGAATATATTTCAGACTTTAACAAAATTTTGACAAATGCTACAACATGGCTGACCCCTGAAAACATTATGCTGAGTGAAATAAACCAGTCACAAAAGTACAAATAGGATATGATTCCACTTATATGAGGCACCTAGAGTAATCAAATTCAGAGAACAGAATGGTGACTGCCAGGAGCTGGGGGACCACGGGGAATGGGGAGTTGTTGGTTAAGTGGTGTAGAGTTTCAGTTATGGGAGACGAGAGAAATTCTGGAAATGAATAGCGGTGGCAGTTACACAAAAATGTGAGTATACTTAATGCCACTGAACTGTACACATAAAAATGGTAAAAACAGTAACTTTTACATTATATGTATATTTTATCACAATTAAAAAATGCACACCTGAACATGGGATTGTTGATTTCTCTGTTCATAATCATAGCTTCAAACATTGGCCCTTCACGTACAACAAACTCTATCATTCGATGTATCAGGGCGAGCAAATTCCTACAACAACAACACAGTTAAAGAAAATGGATTCAGACCTACCACTATATAAAAACTACACTTGACCTAAGTTACTATATTGCGCAGAAAAAAATTATTCTGCTGACTAATACAGAACTTTATACTGAAAAAGCAACTTGGAGCATATGTTAATGCCTTACGCATGAAGAGGGAGAGGGAGAAGGGGACAGGGGAGTGGAAGGGGAAGGAAAGGTAAAGGGAGGGCAGAAAATCATAACAGCTTCATAGCAATAAAGATTTAATTTTCTAAATGCCACTTAATTTCATTTTCCAAATGCAAAACATTAAATTATGAATCACAACTAATTAAAAAGCTGCAAATATATATCAGTAACTCAGAGCTCAGATGTTTATCACAGCCATCTAAAAACTTACATACTATCTCAATTTTAAAAGAAAATATTCCTAAATCAAGTGCTTTCGTGGTGATACTGAAATGTTACACACATGACTATCATTTATAAAAATGCAAAACTATTTAACAAATTTAAGGTCTGACTTAATAAAAAATCCATCCATCTCCTGTGCTTTTCTGGCACACATATAAGCAGATGGAGTTTTTATTGAATCTGACCTTTAATGAGGCAACATCCCTTTGGACCACACTTCAAACTGGTTCACACAATTCATGACATGTAGATTCTGCCTGTGTATTATGAATCAACGAAGCAATTATATTGCCAAAGACTTAAATAAATGGAGTCCTCTTTCTAAAATATTCCAAAATGAGGGACATGGTGCGTTGCCCTTCACATTTTTCATAACAATTACTTTCCAATGTTTAGCCAAAAATAAGCATGTAACTTTTTAATACATTCATTTTATGGGTTGGGCTAATACAAAGTCTTTATTTTTAAAATCTGAAGCTGGGTCCTAAAATCATATACCTTATTAGACTCCAAACAAAATTTTAGAAATTGGTTATAATGTCAGGCAAAATAACTCAACTTACTATAAGCTGCTCTTGATTTCTCATTTCACCAGTCCCCCAGCATAGAGTTGGCAAATAATAATTGGGAAAAGCAAAAGGATATTGGCTCTTGGTACAAGGCACACACTAAATTACACCTTTAGCATTTCCAGCTCAAATCAAGAAATTAAGTTTATATAACTGCTAGAATATAAATAAATATATAGTTATAGAATAAGACAGAATTTTTCTGGCTCTAGAAGGCCTGCTTCAGAGTACATGAATAGTGAAAAAATTTCCCTCATGGTGATAATAATTATTTCACTCAGTTTTCAAACAAACCTACTAAGTGGACACTAAAATCTCTACACAGTGAAAAAAAAATGAATTTTTTGACCTCCTAAAGGGTCCTAAAATAATATAAAGGCTTAAATCTTTACAAAGGGAAAACAACATACTTAAAAACTATTGATTCAAATTAAAATTGTTAAGCCAAAAGCATTATTTAATTTTAAATCTAAAAATTATTTTTCTGTCACAGAAGTATTAACTGCTCTGCAAATTTGCAGTTCTTGATATTTAAATGAGAATGAATGTATTCCTAGATCCACAGTTATTGACACTATTCTGAAGGAAGGGGCATAGTGTGAAGTAGATTCAGTTCCAAAACTCCCACTGGTATGTGCCAAATTAAAGTGAAGGGCAATTTTATGCATCATATATATAAAGTTACTTTCTAGGTGGCTAAATGCTGTACCTTCAGAAATGTGTATGAATTAAGTCAAAAGTAACTTGATTTAGGTATTATAAATAAAAAACGGTCATTCTAATGGTGAGTCAAGATCTTTTAGCAAAATGTACTCAAAATTTTGTTTAAAAAGAAGCTAAGCCATGTGCAAAGCTACTACTTGATATATGCTTTTTGAATGCTACAAAATACTTTCCTGTGAATGATTTATCAGTGGAAGGAAAACCCCACTATAGTTTTAAATAGGCTTGTAACTGATAAAATCTATTTAGAAAATGTAAAGTATAAAAGTTTTAAAATGTTGCATACGGCTATTTAAAATCAGAATCTGACAATTGGTTGCTGCTAACTTGAATTCAAAATTATTAAATAACTATAACTACACTTTTCTTCCTTTAGCTTGTGTGTTTCTTATTTTTAAAAGGGTGACTTTTCTATCAGAATGAAACAGTGTAGTACAAAAAGGTGATCTATTTTAAGTGTACTATTTTATTTTAAAATGGTAATTATCTTATTCTGGGCAACAACAACCAAAAAAAAAACAAAAAACAAAAACCAAAAAAAAAAAATGTTTCTCAGTTATAATAAAACCACATTTATTGGAGTCGATCGTACCAATGTCTGGTCAAAAACTGTATACTTTCCCAATCCATCCCATGATGTTTTCCTGGTCCCCCGCTGCCGCAGACAGTTCAGCTGGTGTTGCTCACCAAGGCCAATGTCAAAGAGAATTTGGTATTCTTTTGTGTTCATTTATTATTCAACCAGTGTTGTGTTCCTGTGTTTGGGAAAAGGCTTAGCTTGACTGAGCAAGAGCATACCTACAGCATGAATTCTTCTGCTTCAACATTATGTTGAAAATAAAAAAGAAGAAAGAAAAATAAAAGAATTCCAAACACCTTTGTTATCATTTAAAAAGTTTCTAATATGTTTAGTGTTCATGAAAATAATAGGAATTCCTTCTTAAATTCAACCAGAAAAAAAAAACAAAAACAACAACTATGTCTTCAATAAGGAAACAAAGTAAGGTTGCATATTAAACACAGATAATTCAGAAACAAAGGAAAAAAACAACAGATTGGGTAAAATGTTATCTAAGATTTAAGATATATTTACAACCCTTATTTTCCCGTCATAATAATCTAATATGATTAGACTAATAACATCAGATTAACTCTATTAAACACATTCTAATTACTAAAGCTATAAAATTCCCTACAATGGTAACAATAAAAACAACAGGTAACGACATAAAATTGCACAGTATACTGAAGTTAAATTTCACATATCCCCCAAAAGAGTACTGGGAAGGAACCATTGCTCAGTCAAGATACCACCTTTTCCTCAACACCATTTTTTTTTTTTTTTTTTAATTCAGAAGGGGATATTGTCTATATTTAGATCAGTAATAATAAAGAAAAACATGTACCTTTCTGTTGGGATAACCACTTTGACTATGGCTTGCGACAGAGTCTGTATATGAAGTCACATCAGATAATAAACATAGAATATGTGAGTATTGTTAACAAGTAACAAGCAAAAATATACATATGCATTGAAAATACTACACATCTAATCACAAGTTTTGCAGGCAATCACTGCTTTTGAAGTCATTATACACTAAGCAATTACATAAAAGCAAAACGGATGTGTCCAGTGAACAATAAATGTTCACCAAATGCAAAGAATCAGAACATTCCTGCCAGAATGCACATCAATGCACTGAAATAGGTACTACACTGAGAATTATCAGATAAAGATTTTAATTTGTGAAATAATTAACTGTTTGCTTCTGACCATAATACAGTTTGCTACTTTGTTCCCAAGCCTTTAAAACCAGCCCTGTCATTTTAAGTGTAATTAACTCATAATGCAACCAACAAATTCTTATAACTTGAAATTAAGTTGGTTTTATGTTTAATAAAAAAAAAAAATACTCACCCTTTGCTTTTACTAGAGTAGTTAATGTTTTTTTTTAAACCACATATGGTCTTAAATATTCTAATACCTCAGATCTTGAAAAGTAAGTTAGCTAGCTGCCATCCAAACAGTTTAACTATTTAAGAGGTCTTTCTAACTGAAAAGTCACTTAGCTAAATACAAAGTATCACTTTCTCAAAACAAAGTCAATTTAGATACTATACTTAAGCAAACCAGGATACAATAGTGGACAAATGGGGGATAGGAGGGAAGGGCTGTGGAAAGAGTGGAACTTAATAGTGGGCAAAAAGGAATGGTAGCCACAATAAAAATAGGACCTAGTATTTCAAACAAGGTTTCCATGGGCTAAGGCAGGGAACACACATCTACTTAAAAGTTGCCAAACAGAATTACACATTTTCTATAAAATAGTTGAAAAGAAATACTACCACAGATTTAGTATTTACAAATATATGCGGCCCTATGTACATTTTTAAAATTACCTTCTCAAAATCCTCCTTGTTTTTCGGTGGCGGTAACATGGGAGCATTGGGGTTTTTTAATCGCTCTCTAGGCTGCGCATTAAAAGGCAGTCCTGATGGAGGTGGGGGGAGCGTATGTTCCATCATAGAAGGCGGAATGTATATTGGATGTGGAGGAATAGGCACAGCTTTACCCCAACCTAACTTCATTTCAAAAGACATAATCATCTTCCCTATAAGAAAGAAAAGAAAGGTCACCTTGGTAATAACTCACAAAAAATATAAGATTTCTGGGATCTAAATTAATTTTTAACCTTTCCATTTTTTTCTCTAAAGTCTTTAGTCTTTACAAATATTTTCCACAACAAAAATAAGTCTGAATTCTATAAACGGTAATAAAAACTATCTTACCATTTAAATTTTTTAAAGCTCTTTCAGCATCTCTTCTATTCATAAAGGCCACAAAGCCACAATTTCTCTCTCTTGCTCTTTCCTCGTCAGTTCTAGGCCACATGATTTTCACACTGGCTAATGGTCCAAATCTTCCAAATTCTTGGCACAGCATTTCTTCATTCATCTATTAAAAAGCACAAGAGGTTTTTTTTGTATGCAAAAAAGAAGGGAAAAAATTCTACGCAACAGAAAGCAAAGTAGCTTTTGCAACATGAAGAGAGACATATTAATGCTACCTTTTTCCATTCAAGTACTAGGACCTCTATACAAATAAAATCTTGCCCTCAGGGCATTCACAAATCTTTTCATACCAAACACACACTATTTTATGTAAACAAGGAGCCAAGGGGAGTAGGCTGGGAGGCTGGAGAAATCAAAAGCACACCTCTCCCTCTTCTCTTCCTCCTTTAGAGATTCTGCATCTAAAATAAGTCTGTTCAGGAATTTAGCAATGTTTTTTCAGCCTGCAGTAATTACAACATTTAAGTTAAGGAGAAAACAATTTTTGGTGATGAAAGAAAATAAAAGGATCTAATCATCTTTTCTTTTTCCATCTACCAATGTAATCAAGAACAGAGAAAATGGTAAATATGCAATGAGGCCCAAACTATATTAAAATATAAAAGACAAAAAATACAAATACTATGCACCAGAAGGTTATCATCTACCATTGGCCATATACTCATGTGATAAATAATAAAATCAGCACATAGTAAATCAGTTCAAATTCAGAGTACGTATAGTGCCGTTAGATAGAGAAGCCCTTAAGAAGTATAGCCAGACAATTCAGCCCATACCAGCAAGACAACTTAAGGACTCTAATTCCATCAAATTTGCTTACTTCAGATTCTTTCCTTTATTTTTTTTTCCCTTTTTATTTACTGATTGACAAAGCAGTTTTCTTCAAAAAAAAAAAAAATACATATATATATATATATATATATATATATAAAAAAGCATATAAACCAACATTCATCGTACTTTTCTAATATTACCTGTGGATTAATGTTTCCAAGGTATAAATTAGTAGTGCTTGGATCTCCCACATCATGTGATCCAGGTGCATAATCATCAAGAACTAAGCAGAGAGAAAACAAAAATTATAACCTGAAAAATACAAAGTCTAGACAATTTCTATTAATTAAAAAAGCAAAAAACTGTATTACCACCAGATGATCTATTTCTTCTTGAAGGCGCATCCACTTTAAAAAGAAGAAAACAATTCTTAGTTTTTAGAATAGTTCATCACAAATATAAACATTAAAATAAACTTCACTTACTGGAACGCCGCTGACCATCAGAATCTGACTGAGGAGGCTCAAATCGACTTAACCTGCCTTTTGTCTTATGTCTCTCATCACGCTCTTCTTGAATTCTGTTGAAAATATTTACAATCACTAATAATGAGCCAAATTTGTTTGTTCACATTTAATAAAAATAGAACTTATTCAGGTATTATCTTCAAATAAGATTAGAGTCCCTCAGCTATAACAGTTATGAGAAAATTTCTGATATATTACATAATCAACAAACTACAAAGCCCACTTTTAAGGTGAGGATGAAATTCAACATCAAAACCAAGAATCTGTTCTTGCTGGGCTAAGTTCGACCACTCCTCACCCCACACTTCAGTAACTATATTGTTTCCACTGCAAACAGGACTCCGGCCATTAATCAATTTAATTGCATCCACTTAATGCAAACAACCTAGATGCTGGACGAAATGCTAATGCATTTTTCAAACATACCCCACAAAATGCCACTACAATATCTTAAAAAACTTCATGGTAAGCCAGTTAGTAGTAACTAACTGTTATGCTCTGTTCTTCATACCTGCATCAGCTCAGTATACCTCTGATAGCCATTCTCAGCACTAGTAAACTTACTGTTTCAATTCTTCTTTGAAGAGTTCCAAATTGCTTTTTTTCTTTTCTTTCTCCCCTTTCTTCAGTGGCTATGAAGGATATGACAAGTTATACTTCAAACAAAAAAAGGTTAAACAAAACTAATGGTTCAGTAATCATTTTAAATAATTTTTATTTTAGTGCCAATTACGTTCTAATTGTTTAAATTAGAATGAACGCTTCCGTTATCAGTTTCCCTTTCTGTTCTCTCAAACTAAGTAATAATTTTTAAAACAAGCAGTGTGGTGATTGTGGGGGGAAGGGGGAGGGTGGAGGTGGAAGAGGGCATAGAGGGGATAAATGGTGATGGAGAAAATAAAATAAAGTTAAAATAAATAAATAAAAATAAAAACAACTGAACAAAATGACAACCAGTGGTCTTAAAGGAAAGGAGCCACTAACATTATAACCCAAAAGCCTGCAATACTTGGGCCTGAATATTGTTGAAGAAAATAGGGAAAAAGAAAATTCTTTTTTTTTTTTTTTTAATTTACTGATTTGAGAAAGAGAAAGAGAGAGAAAGAGGAACATCAATTTGTTGTTCCACTTATTTATGCCTTCATTGGTTGATTCTTGTATGTGCCCTGACTGGGGATGGAACCCACAACCTTGGGGTACTGGGACAAGGCTCTAACTTAATTGAGCTACACAGCCAGGACAACAGGGGGCAAAATTAATGAACATAAAGTAACTGAACTACCATGTAAAAGTAACTGCCATGAACAACCACCAAAATGATGCACTCTTGAAAACAATAACCTTCGGAGGATATGAATTACTGAAACAATTGGTAATATCTTTGGAATTTCTTTTACAAAATTATTTCCAAAACCACTTTTGGAATAACTTTTTCAAAGTGCCAAAATATTTCAAAGGAAAAGGACAGTCTCTTTAATAAATGGCACTAGGACAACTGAATATCAACACGCAAAAAACTAAAATAATGAAGTTTGAACTCTACTTCACACCATACAGAGGTGAGCAAAAGTAGGTTTACAGTTGTAATACAAATAAATAAAATAATAAATAAATAATAATTCAAGAACAAACTGTTTTGCATACTCACAACTGTAAACCTACTTTTGCCCACCTCTGGATAAAAACAAATTCATTCAACTGGTTCACAGACCCAAATGTAGAAGCTAAAACCATAAAATTCTTAGAGAAAAACACAGGAGTGAATCTCCATGACTTTTAATTAAGCGACAATTTCTTAGACATGACATTAAAAGCACAAGTGACAAAAGAAAAAACTGATAAACATCACCAAAATTAACCTTTATGCTTCAAAGGACACTATCAAGAACATGCAAAGATAACCCACAGAATGGGAAAAAACATTTGCAAATCACGTAGCTTATAAGAAACTCCAGGTGTGAAATATTCTTACAACCTAACAACAACAAAAGATAAATAAGCAAATTAAAAGTGGGCCAAGAATCTGAAAAGACATTTCCACAGAAGACTGTAAATGGATGATAAACAGAAAATGTTCAACATTAGAAAAGTGTAAATCAAAACCACAATTAGGCACAACTTCACACCCACTAAGATGACTATAATAAAATTTAAAAATAGGTAACTTTAACAAGTGTTGATGAAGTATGGAAAAATTGGAACCTTCATACATTGCTAATAGGACTATAACATGGTACAGCTACTTTGGAAAATAGTTTGGCAGTTTCTCAAAAAGTTAAACAAATAGTTACCATATGATCTACCAGCAAATCCACTCCTAGGTATATATAAAAGAACTGAAAACAAATGTCCACACAAAAGCCTATGTGAATGTTTACAGCAGCATTAATAGAAACAACCCAAATGTCCATCAAGTGATAAATGGATAAACAATGTGATATATCCATAATATAGGATATTATTCAACCATAAAAAGGAATGAAGTACTGTATATGCCACAACATAGGTGAACCCATGATGCTAAGAAGCCAGACACAAAAGGCCACATGTTGTATGATTCCATCTGCATAAAATGTCCAGAACTGACAAATCCAAAGAGAAAGAAAGTAGGTTAGTGGTTTTACAGGGATTGGGGATGACTAAATATAGGTATAAAATTTTTTTCCTGGAATAAAAATGTTCTGAAATTAGAGATCAGTGATTGCTGAACAACTGTAAAGATACTAAAAAAATAAAATCACTTAATTGTATACTTTATGACTTTTATGATATGTGAATTATATCTTAATAAAGCTGTTACCATTTTTTAAAATTACTTTCAGAGCTACTTTAAAAGTCATAGGAAAAAATCAGTCTCATTTCTCAATGTAATCCTATTTCTTCACCAAACCTGACTCTAAATGACATCTCTTTCCCATATAAAAACCTCACCCTCAAAAAAATAAAAAATTTTCTAACATTGAGAATACTTAAAAGAAAGTGTCACTAGTTCTGATAATAATTCCAAATAAATCCAAAAAATGTACTAGGTACCAGACACACTGTTGGAGTACATTTAGTCTCCAATGTGTATTACTTAAATACTTCAGTTCAGAATTGTTTCAAAATATGATCCCTTTACTTTACATTTACACCTAAATTATAGCCAACTTTTCACTTGCAATATGCTGTGAGTATAGCAAAACGCTCAGTGCTCACAGAGCACAAACTATTATCTACATGTCCTAATTTATTCTGTCTCATCTAGGAAGATTAAGCATCAAAACTCAACATCTCCCAAAAGAATTAAAAAGAAACCAAAGTCCTGCTTACAGTGGAAGTACTGGAAGTACCATTGGCAGTGTGATTTCAACATAAGTGGTCACTGTTTTAAGCATGACTTACAGGTTTTTTGGTTTCTATCACCAGAAGAGATGGTGGTCTTTCACTGGATGACTGATTCGGAGGGTTTTTTTGATCTGCAAATCTTGAAGATGGCTTATAGATTTTGCCTCTTTTCTCATCTGTTTCATGTTCTTCTGAAATTTAAAATAGTAAATTTCAATATTAATTTCACATTATTTGAATTGTATTTAAAAATAAAAATAAAGCCCTGGCTGGTTTGGCTCAGCAGTTGGAGCGTCAGCCTGAGTCCCGGGTGTAGTTCCCACTAGGGGCACATACCCAAAAATAAATAAATAAATAAAAATAAAAATAAAATGCTTTTAGTACTAAGATATATCACTAGTGACCAAATATGAAGTTAAATTCAAATTATGACTACCCTACTCTCAAAAATACCAATTTAGTAATTTTATAGTAAAACTATGAAATATATTAAAATTTTTAGAGAGTGTTCTGTTTTAAAACTTGGAAGGTAGTAAATATTTTCAAAACTAGCTCCAATTTTTCATTAATCCACATTTGGTCACTTATTTTGCTAATTAATACCACCACTAGAGGGTGCTGACAGAAAGGAAACATTAAATTCAAAAGCAACCAAACTTATTTCATAATTATCTCAGTCATCCAATCCAACCAAGGCTTCTGGGTTTAACTCAAGGGCAATAATCTTCACACTTACCTTTAGCTGCATTAACAACACCTCCACGCACAAATGTCTTCACTTTATTACCATCACTTCCTTCAAAAGCAGCAAGAAATTCCTCATAAATCTCAGCAGCAGCCTTTTCATCCTCCTGAATACACATAAATATATTAATAGTACTTAATATAAAAATTATTCTTGTACGTAGGGTTAAACTCATCAAGGAATAATGTAAATGAAACCTCTCCCTTAGATGGGGAAAGCAGGTTAAGCAGTCCTAATAGGTAATATCTAACACTTAATAGATATTAGATAGTAATTAACATTGAAACTAAGAGACTTTGCTCTTCTACTGGCAATCAGTAGAACCAGAAAAGGACCCACTAAGTAAATTTGTTTAGAGACAATTCAAGGGCCAAACTGTATGACAATTGACTATATAAAATATATAATTCTACTAGTCTTTATATTGTTTCCAAGGTACAATGATTTACTTCAGTGAATACAAATACAAAGATTTCCTTTACAAACCACCAAAGATATTTATAGATGTTAGAAATTGAAGCAACATTATTTCCAGACAGCTGGTATTTTAAAAAGCTCAGAACCTTGACAGTTTCCATTATAACTATGCTAAATGTCCTCAAAATGTTATGAATAGAAAGACCAATGGAACAGAATAGAAAATACAGAAATAAATCCAACAGCATGTGGCAATTCAACATTCAATAAAAGTGGCATCTCAAATTAGTGAAAAATAGATGTACTTTGCAATGAATGATGGTGGGGTACCTTGATAGCTATTTGATAAAAATGAACCAATTATTCACATAAAACACAAGCAGAAGTTGCAAATGAACCAGATTAAATTTTTTTTTTATCCTCACCGGAAGACATTTTTTCCATTTTTTTGTTCAGATGGAGTGTGAAGGAGAGAGAGAAACATCGACGTGAAAGGGACAAATCGAGTGGCTGCCACCCACACGACCCAACCAGGGCTGGGGACAAACTGCAACCGAAGTACATGCCCTTAGCGGGACCTGAACCTGGGTCTCTCTGGACCGCAGCCTGATGCTCTAACCGTTGAACCAAACCGGCCAGGGCCAGATTAAATTTTTTAAAACAATAAAACCATATATTAGGAAAAACGAAGAGATTCCTTTATAAGCTGGGAGTGGGAAAAACTTGACTGAAAAACCAGAAACCCTGAGGAAGGACGATAAATCTGATTAGATAATAATAAGTACTTTCTACATAAAAAAACACCAGAAGCAAAATAAAAAACAGCTGATGAACTGGGACAAAACACTGCACGTTGTATCACAAAGTTTTAACATACTTAACATACAAAGTATCTAAAAATACAACCAACTAACTTGTAGAAAGATTAGTTCAGTTATAAGCAGACAGCTCACGGAAACAAACACAAAAAAAGCTGTTCAACCTTATTTATAAGAGAAAAGCAAATTTAAAACAATAATAAGACACTATTTTCAGCTAGTAGATTAACAAAACTTCTTTGATAACATCCTTTGTTGACAAGCTATGGGGAAACTACCTCTCAGAAACTGCTGACAATAATGCAAAATGGCCCTACCCTTATAGAGAGCAATTTGACAATATTTAGCAGAGCTGCATTTATGTATTTACCATCAACCCAGTAATCTCACTTACAGGAATATGTCCCAGTGATACACTAGCAAAAAATCATACGCTTAATACTACCCATCATAGCACTATTGGAAATGGCAAGACCAAAATACAAACACCCTTAGTGGGATTTTAGTTCAATCAACTATTGCATATCTACACAGATACTTAAAAAAAAAAAAAATCTCAATATACTTGTAGTAATCTCTGAGATATAATGTTTAGTGAAAAGAGCAAAAGGAGAGAAAAGCTTACTGTCTATAGCATGCTACTGTGCACCTAAGAGGAGTGGAGTACTATATATATATACACACTTGCTTAAAAAAAATAGACCAGCAAATAATCAAAATTGCTACACAGTAGAGAGAAAACAGTGGAGGAGACAGGGATAGAAGCTGGACTCCTCTGAATATACCTTGTGTTATAGACTTGACTTGGAGGGAGCAGCTGAGAATACCCTGGAAGTCTCTCTACTGCCCATACACTTACTGCACTTTAGATATATTTATTTCCAAATATCACTCAAAATACATTTTAAACGTTACCTTTTTCTTCAATTCTTCTTGTTCCTTCTTACTTAAAGTTCGCTTAGCTGTACTCATTTTTCCAATACTGAATGCTTTAAGTTTGTTTTCTAGAAGAGGCTAGGAAAAGAAATAAAAAGCATACCTTTACATATACAGTCTTAATGCTATCTATAACTCAACTGATAACACCTAAACTGATAACCAAATCTCCAAAATAGACAACTTTAGAAAAAATAATAATGCATTGTGAAGAAAAGCTGAGGGTACTCTAAGCGTCAGGTGCCTGCCTACCTTACAGCTTAATTCTGATGTCAGTATTCATTAAAGAATATCTTCACTTGCTAGCTGAAGGTCAATAACATACAAAAGTCATTTAAAACAAAAGCTTTGAACTCATTCAACTTGCTTATTGGTAGCAAGAATAAAAGCACCTGAGAAGGGAAAGCACAGATGTTTCCGAGAAAAAGCAGCAGTATAGAAAACAGACATTTCAAATTGGGAGAAGGAGGCATACGTTTCCATGGTTTAGTGGAAGAAATCTAAACGCCATCTATAACTGCCAGTTCAGGTACTACAAATTACATCACTTCTTTGTATAATTTAGTCAATCACCTCATTCTTTTTTTCCCCTTTTTGTTTTTAATGTTTTCCTATTTTCTTTTTTTTTTTCAATTACAGTTTACATTCATATTATTTTGTATTAGTTTCAGGTGTATAGCAATCATATACTATGTGCTCCGTCCAATATTTTCAGTACCCACCTGGCACCATACATAGTTATTACAAAATTATTGGCAAAATTATTAACTATATTTCCTATGTTGTATTTTACATCCCCATGATTATTTTGTAACTACCAATCTGTACTCCTTAACCCCTTCACCGTTTTCACCCAGTTCCTCAACTGAGTATACTTCAATTTTGCTTGTTCATTTATTCTGTTCTTTAGATTCTACATATAAGTGAAATCATATATTTGCCTTTTTCTAACTTATTTAACTTAGCATAATATCCTCTAGGTTCATCCATGCTTTCACAAACAAGATTTCCTTCTTTTTTTATGGTCAAGTAATATTTACCACTACATTTTTATCCACTACTCTACTAATGAACACTTGAAATCACCTCATTCTTCATCAATAATGCTGTTAATGAACATAATTTCGTTGTTTGCTAGGAATGTATCACGTACAGTTATTTTAGGTTTCTGGAAAATAAACATGCATCAATTAAAATAATATTTCCTTCTGAAATATGGCTTGAATAAATTGTAGACTTTTAGTTGTTCAGTTATTAATTTACAGGTTAAATTTTGATTCATAACTTAAAAGAAATGTTTATTAAACATAATCTAAATTATTAATCTGCAATTGAAATCTGAAGGTTTCTCCAGCACCTACTAAAACAAGTTAACCAATTGCAAAATTAGAATTTATCAATCCCCAATTAAAAAGGCTTGCTCTAGCCCAGCTGGTGTGGCTCAGTGGTTGAGCACTGACCCATGCACCAAGAGGTCGCTGGTTCAATTCCTGGTCAGGGCACATGCCCAGGTTGTGGGCCCAATTCCCAGTGCGGAGTATGCAGGAGGCAGCCAATCAATGTTCTCTCTCCGTCTCTGAAATCAATAAAGGAAAAAAAAAGGCTTGCCCTTGTGATATGCAGAATGAAAAAGTAATATTGCTGCAAACTATTTTAAAGTTACTTTTGAAAAAATACAGCCATCTATAACCCAAAAGTCAGTATCAAGTTTCAAGAACAGATTCAAAATAATTTTTTCTCTGTGATAGAAAGAAAAATGTTTTGCCATCATTCAGTCAGCATCTTTGGTTTGAACTTAAAAAGTTTAAACAATTGTAAAATCACTTATAGATTCAAATGAAAAAGACATAATTTTACAAAACAAAATGTTTGGACTCAAATTTTATTTATATCTAAGAGCTAAGCCCAAGAGGGAAATGGTTAAGGAAATTAAGGACTGTTCATGCAAAGTAACAGTCATCCATTAGAAATTTTTTATAGAACTTTTGTGAAAATTCTGAAAATCAGAACTGAAAACAGTATTTTTAAGTGTATTCCTGTAAAACAGATCTTAGCAAAGTAAAAATATTTTTATGCCAAGAAATACTACAAAAGGAAAATTTTTAAATGTTATCCATTTTAATACTGGCTGATGCTGATTATCTTCTTTATATTTTCCAAATTTAATCACAAGAAAACATTGTTTAAAACAAAAAGAGCACTTTTCAGACACACAGTAAAGCTTTCTCTGGGTTATCATATCGCCCTGGAAAACACACTAACCAGAGTGAATAGCACCTGTCTGTCTGCTTCCCAGGGCAAGACTATAAGCTCTCTGAGAGCAAGAGCTATGCTTTAATCATCTGTGTATTTCCAATGACTGGCATTTGGCACCTGGTCCACTATATGTTTGGTACTGCAGGGAAGGGGGGGTAGAGGGGGCAATAAATGTGATCATTATCCATTTTACATTCAAAATATTCCTTGGTTTTTAAAATTACATTTTAAATAAAGCATATCTCACCAAAGAGCTAAAAAACATTTCCTTGGATGAACTTAAGGTTATCGTTAACCTCAATACAACAAAGAATGCTATTTTCAAATAGCACCAAGATGGAACAAGTACAAACCAAGATATCCAACCATCAAATTAAAGGACAGATTAAAATCATTAACTATCCTTTATTATCTTTCGTCAACAACTTACTCTTGAGATATTCTGGTGAGGAGAATCACAAAGGCTTTCACGGGCACTTTCATTCCTATAATTATGTTTCCTTGGGCTCTTAGGTCGTGTCCGACTTGGCATATCACTATCTGAGGGTCCGGAGGCATCCATCTTCAGGAAAAGGAAAACAAGTTTTTAAATATCCCATATGCAGTATTGAAAACTAGAAATAACCCAGATGTCCAAATACTGACTAATTTAATTACACATTATCAAAACTCTCATCCCTTAATATCACCACCAATTTCATCAAGGTCCTTAAGTTTGGGGAAAGTTTTCAATGAAAGCTCCAATTTTATATCAGTAACAAATACCTGTTTACTTTGAAGTAACAGGTTCATTTCTTTCATTTTCAAGACAATATCGACCAAACATTCAAGTCTGATTAACCATACTTTGTCACTTGCTCCTTCAAATAAAAATGGTATTCCATGAAGAAAGAAGCCAGTTTCATTTCTCAATTTAAACAATCCCACAAGTACTTTTTCCCTCAAGATAAACATCACACTTTGAGTAGGCTGAAATGCCTTATATGTATTCTCCATTTCATCACATACAACATCAAAAAGACTCATACAAAAGGGCAAGATCTTAATATTAGTAATTTTCCTGCTTCATCAAGCACATTCTTAAGAAAAACTAGCATATTTTTACTGTGCTCGTGGGAAAGAATACAATGACTACTCGTGCATTTTGGCAACACTGCCTTAATTCGTGCTCAGATGCCAACATTTTACCCATCAATTGCTTTTTCACCCTAAGTGCAAATGTCAACACAGTAAAAAAGGCAAAGAACGAATTAGTGCTACTGTAAAGTAGTTTTGAACTCACAGATCCCCCCTCCCCCTGAAACATTCTCAGTGACTCTCAGGGGTCTAAAGACCATACTTTGAGAACTACTGTAATAATACATGTAGAGAATGTTTATTGCAGTACTATACAAAATACCAAAACCCTTTAAACAAAACGTATATGCCCATCAACACAGAAATACCTTAATAAATAACTGTACCTCCCCGTGGAACATTATGACACCATTAGAAAAACTAGATTAGAGCTATGCCTGCTGACTTGCAGGGATTTCCAATAGGTATAATATGCAAGGAGAAAAGAATGAGTGTATATAATGCAATACCATAGTCAATGTATAAGTACATACTTTTATGTATGTACAGAATTTTAAAAGCACAATTTAAAAAAATAAGGAAATGTAAATACTATGTTTTTAATATGGTTTGAAGGGCCAACTTATGTTAACAGAACAAAAAAGGAGGGCACAAAACAAAAAAAGAGCACAGAACAAAAAAGGTGGGGAAAAAATAGGCACATACATCATAATTGTATTTATCAAGTAAAATCATAAGGGCGGGAAGATAATGACAGAGAAATTAAATTTTAAAGAGAAAAACAAAGATTGCCTTTTATACTCACATGTGCATCTGAAGATCCAGATGAATGAACATCTGATGATCTTGTCTGCAAGTATGAAAAATAAAAGTCAATATTTAAATTATCAGAAAATGTCTTACTATACTAATAAAACAAGTGTTTCTCATACTCAATTTTTCTGAGAGTTAATTTTTCCCAACTTGTAGCAAAAACCAAATAAAGGCAATCTCTGACTTACAAAAACGTAATCCAATATAAATGTGCAAGTCTATTCTTTAAAATTCAGAATGTGTATTTCTCAAATATGATACAAATGATAGTCTTAAGATACACTGATGACTGCTGTAACGCTGACCTAGCAACAATTTACTACACAGCAAATAAACCTCCCATCCTTTCTCCAACCACCCAAAGTCATATAAGCAGATTCTAATAGCAAGAAAACCCACATATAAACTCTTGATATCTAGCAAAAGGCCTAATTCTACCACAGAAATAATTCAAATAAAACAAAATCCTATTATCAAATCCCCAACAGGCCTTCCATTTGCAACTTTTTAAAATTATGTATTTATTAATTGATTTTAGAAAGAAAGGGAGAGAAAGAGAAAAGGAGAAAGGAAGAAGGAAAGACGGAGGGAGAAAGGGAGGGGGAGAAAGGACGGATAGGCGGAGAGAGAAACATAGCTTTGTTGGTCCACTTATTTATGGATTTATTCTTATATGTGCCCTTGGCTTACAGGGATGATGCTCTAACCAACTGAGCTACCTGGCCAGAGCCCTAACTTGTTTTAAGGGAGCTGCTTCTACTCTGGCATGCCACTGTTGCTGACGACTGCACAAGTAAGAGTTCAGTCTTCCAGTCATGACACTTTCCAACAACATCAACTCTCAAATTTTCATCTTTTTTTTTTCCTGAATTGATCCGATTACATAACAGCATACATTTTATTAATTTTTCACTATGCATCTAAGGACAAAGAAGCCAAGCTGCAAGGCTATTTAATTAAGGCTCTTATGGATCCCTGCAGTATTACTTTATTTATCTTACATAAACATAAAGCTAAGAACAGTGGGTTAGATTTTCACACTGAATCAATTTATTCCTCTGAACACTTTACTGGCTCCTACTCACAATCAGCTCAAAACCAAGCGCTGAGACATTTCCCACTTCTCTTTCTATTCATCATTTTTCTGTCCCCAACTTTTTATTTTGTTTTGAATCCTCACTCGAGGATATTTTTCCATTTATCTTCTGATAGAGGGGGAGGGAGGGAGGGGAGGAAGGGAAGGAGAGAAACATCAATGTGAGAGAGAGACATCGATTGGTTGCCTCCTGCACAACCTGGAACGGGGCCTAACTGCAACTGAGGTCTATTCCCTTGGCCAGAATTGAACCTGCAACTCTTTGGTCCATCAGCCAATGCTCTAACTGCTGAGCCAAAGTGGCCAGGGCATGTCCCCAACTTTTATTGTGATCCTCCTCATTCACTTTCTTCTCCCAGTTAACCTTTCTTAAAAAGCAAGATGGTATGGAAGAAGAAATTTTTTTATATTTAAATTAACCCTGTGAAACATACTTTGAAACACAATTTGAAATTTGCCCATTTGCTGACACTTAGAAAATCCAAGAGAATAAATAATTTATCTTAGAAAAGAAAGAGTTCAGTCAAAAGACTGAATGGTCTAAGGGGAAAAAAAAAAACCTGCTTTCTAATACAGCAGCATTAACCATTCAAAGTAACAAAAATAATATCCTAATCATAAAGGTAACAGAAACATAAAACATCTAGAAACCAACTAAAGAAAATGTATACGACCCGTGTGAAGAAAACACAAGGATTCAGTCATTCAAGTCACCTTTTAAAAGATTCATCAAATTCTTGCATGAGAAAACTGATTATTAAGAAAATGTCCACTACACCCAAATTTATTTACATACCTATAGATATACACCTTCATTCAACAGCTCAAAATCCCAAAGAGAAATCGTTTAAATTCACCCAGAAGAATGAACATAAAGGAGTAGCTAATAATGTGCTAACCTGTCTTTAATTCTCTATGCCAACATATCCAAATCACTCCCAGGATTTAAAATAACAGCATGGCCTAGGAAGCAGCATCAGCTGACTTCAATTAACCTGAGATGGGACTGATCATATTTACTACAAACCAGACATTTCCCACTGATAGAGAAGTTAAAGTCAAACGGTAGTTCATAAGATTTTTAAAAAATAGCCAACTTCTAAAGCTAGTGGTCCAGGTAAACAGTAAATATAATGCCACTTCAGAAGCTGAGCCTCTCCCTCTTCTTAACCTGGAACTAAACTGTATCATTTGTCTTAGGCTTAGGTTTTTATTTTCTTTTAAACCTAAAAACAACAAACTAATGCTTAAAGATCTTCTGAAGTCTACAAAACAATTCCTCATCCAAATGAAAAGACCCAAAAGCAGGAAATGGAAGGGCCAAGTAAGGGAAGTTTGAGGAAATAAAGAAGCAGACAAAGAGAAATTTATCTCAGGCTTAGAAAAAATAGTTGTGCAGATGTGGGGAATGACAGCAAGAAAATCCAAAAGGAAAAAGGATCATTGTGATGGCTGCTGAGGATACAAGATAAAGGTGAGGCCAACTACACTCGTGCCATATGACCCTGTATCTTGGTGGCTGAGAATAAAAATTATTACTTTTTTCTTCCTGGCTGCTCCTACGTTATTTTAAGTAAAAGGCCTCCACACCCGAGTTTTCAAATTAGCACACTATCCACAGTAACATCCCTCCAACACTGCCATTCTGCCTAGTCAGCTCTCCATTCCCACTTCTGTCCCCCAGATGTCTTTGTCCTCTCATCCTCTAAGCATCAACTTACATGTCCTCAAGTTTAACAATCTCTCCCACAGTAAGCAAATCAACACTTTTATTTTACTGAGATGACTACCAATTCCTGATCTTCAACCTTGGTCCTCTCATAGGTTCCAATCTGTTCACAAACTGCTCCTGGACAAATGTCTGCAAGCTACTCAAATCCAATAGATCTCAAATGCCTCACAAACCATCTTGTCCTCTAGACCTTACTTCTGACACTGGGTGGTAACTCTCAATCACTGATAATCTAGAAATAGTAAAATGTTATGAGCACAAATTCTGGAATCAGACTTATCAGATTTGTAACCCTGGGCCTACTTCCTTCATGTGGAAAGCTGAACAGCACCTACCTCAGGAATGTTGTGAAGGATGAACAGTGTTTGGTACATAATAATTCACCAATAAGCCTTAGCCAGCAGCAGCATTATAACAGGGTCATCTTGGACTCCTTCCTCATCCCGTGTAATCAATTGAGTCAAATCCTGCCTCTAATACAGCTCTTCTACAAGGACCTCATTTCCTTTCTAAAGACACCATTGTGGTTCAGATCTTCCCTTTATTCAACCATGTACTGGGCAACCATTTCCTGGACTGTGCCTTGTATTAGAGAGATAAAGTAAAATAAGACAAAAAATAAAATAAAATAAGACATAGCTCCTGTCATTAGGAGCTAATAAAAGAGACAAGTAAAAATGTAGCTATGCCACAAGAGCACAGGAAAATCTTAATGGGAGTGAAAAAGACACCCAGAAAGGATCTGGGGTGAGATTTTTGAAGTAATCCTCAATATCAGCACTGCAATAATCTTCTAACTGGTTCTCCTAACCCCCAAACCCTCCCCCTACATCCCCATTAACGGCTTTCGTAAAGGGCCTTCCTGCCTCAAATTTCCCATGGCTCTCTGATTTGATTCTGAAGCATTCAAAGCCCTCCACAATTTAGCTAAAACCAACCCTTCTATCTCTGTAAGATCACAGAGACATGCATGATGTATAAAGTTAAATAACAAACCTGAAATGATCTTTAAAATTACATCCAAAACACTACAAATAATGAAAAGTTGTAACTACATTTGTAATGTCCTGTAGTTTATCTAAACTAAGGAAGGGCCGAGAAACATCTGTAACAAAAATAAATTAATTAATTAAATTTTTTAAAAAATAAATAAATAAGCAAGCTGAGGAAGGGCCTAGTGAAAATATTTAACTCCTCAAAGAGATATCTAACCGTAACAAATAGTCTCAAGTGCCACAGGCCAATGTATCTTGCTTTCAAAAGGTTATTTCAACAAAATACCTAGCACATAGCTGGTGTATTTAATAATAGCATAAGGGGCAAATTCTTTGCAATATCAATGTTTTTGAGTTTACTATCCTGTAGCAAGTTTTTACTTTTATTTCAAAATTGATGTTCTTTGTAAAAAGGGATAGAAAGGCAGAAGTCTTCAACTTGCATCCCAAATGAGATGCAGTTAAGGCAAATGGGTATCTTTCACAGATTTACTTTCCAGGAAAAACAAAGCTTCAGAAATAAAAATTTTTTAAGAAATTAAAACACTTGCCAAAAACAAGTCAATCCAAATTTTTTTTAAATCCGTATCAACAGTCACATTCAAATACCAATGCTGCAAATACTCAAGTTTCTAAAAAGCACTGGTCAAGATAATGGAAGTTCAACCCTGAACAGCCACAGCAATCTTGAAAAAAAAAACAAAGCTGAAGGGATCACATTACCAAATTTCAGGTTATACTACAAAGCCACTGTAATCAAAACAGCCTGGCACTGGCACAAGAACAGGCAGATAAAATGGAACAGAATAGAGAACCCAGAAATGGATCCAAGGCAATACACTCAATTAATGTGACAAAGTTGGCAAGAGCATACAGTGGAGTAAAGACAGCCTCTTTAATAAACGGTGTTGGGAAAATTGGACAGCTACATGCACAAAAATGAAACTAGACCATCAACTTACACAAGAATAAACTCAAAATGAATAAAAGACTTAAATGTGACTCATGAATCCATAAAAATCCTAGAAGAAACTGTAGGCAACAAAATTTCAGACATCATACGCAGCAGAATTATCACTGACCTAAGGCAACAGAAACAAAGGAGAAAATGAACACATGGGACTACATCAAACTAAAAAGCTTCTGCACAGCAAAAGAAACAACCATCAAAATGGAAAGGCAACCCACTCAATGGGAGAGTATAATTGCCAACGATACATCAGATAAGAGGTTAATTTCCAAAATATATACAGTGCTCATACAACTCGACACAAGGAAGACAATGAACCCAATTAAAAAATGGGCAGAGGAACTAAATAGACACCTCTCCAAACAGGACACACAAATGGCTAGGAGACATATGAAGAAATGCTCAACATCACTAATCATCAGAGAGATGCAAATTAAAACAATGAGGTACCACCTCACACCTGTCAGAATGGCCGCCATCAGCAAATCATCAACAGGTGTTGGTGAGGGTGTGGAGAAAAGGGGACTCTAGTACACTGCTGGTGGGAATGCAGAATGGTGCAGCCACTATGGAAAACATTATGGTGTTACCTCAAAAAATTAAAAATTGAACTGCCATTTGACCCAGTGATCTCACTTCTAGGAATATACCCTAAGAAGCCTGAAACACCAATCAGAAAAAACATATGTACCCCCATGTTCATAGCAGCACTATTTACAATAGCTAAGATCTGGAAACAGCCCAAGTGTCCATCAGTAGATGAATGAATAAAAAAGCTGTGGTATATACACAATGGAGTACTATGCAGCTGTAAGAAAGAAAGATCTCTTATCCTTTGAGATGACATGGAGGGACTTGGAAAGTATTATCCTAAGCGAAACAAGCCAAACAGAAAAAGACAAGTATCATCTGATCTCACTTATTTGTGAATATAATGAACATAACGGTCTGAGGAATAGGGTAGTCCCAGGGACGTGGAAGTGGGGTACAGACTGACAATCCCCAGAACAGGGGATGCTGGGGGAGAGATAAACCACAGAACTTATATGCACGTATGCATGAACAATGGACATGGACAACAAAGCTGGGGATAGGGAGGGGAGGGAGGGAGGAATCAGTGGGGGGAAAAGGAGAAACATCTGTAACAAAAATAAATAAATTAATTTAAAAATAAAAAAAAAAGATAATGGAACTTCAAAATTTCACTCTCCACCCAAAAACACAGCCTTCCACACATAAAACTCAGCACCTTATATTTTAAGATAAGGTTACAACCATATTATTATAAAAATTCAGTTTAAACTAAAACTGGAAGCTATGAAGAGCCTAATTTTCAAGGTTTGTGTTTTGTTTGGAGATTTTCATATTTAAATTTTATATATCTTCAGGCGGATGCATGTGTGCGTGCGCGTGCGTGCGCACGCGCGCGCACACACACACAAATGAGTATATAAGCTGTAGTAAATACCTAAGGATCACAAGCCTTGGATGAACCCTCCTTTTACTTATTTTTTTACTTAATACTCGGTTAATTAGCAATCAAAATTGTTCCCAAACCAACTTAGCACTGGATGTCAAGGAAGCAAGCAGAATGTTCTTTGTTTATTTACCTATCTAACCCAATTTTTGACAATATGGCAAAAAATAAGTGTTATTGGCAGATTGCATTAAGAGGGCACACAATTCGGTATTAGTATTATTACTAGCACAGAAGATGCAGAAGCAAAGAAAATATCACTCAAAAGAAAAATCACACACAAAAAAATTATCTTTATAGCCTCACCTTTGCTGAGCAAGCAAACAAAAAACTCTTAAAATCAAAATAATAATTTGATAAATTAAATTCTCTGAAAATATGTTGAACAAGTTTATAAGCAAACAATTATAGGCTCTCTGTCTCTCTTCCTAAAATCAAACCTACAACATGGTATCAATGCCCCTCTCCCTCATAGTATTTTAGTCTGGTGATAAACAGGTATCATGAATAGGAAAATTTTAGCTCATTACTAAAACATTTACTGAATTTCTATATCTGCCAGGCTTTAAAATGAAAAGCATAGCAAAATTACACAGAAAATAAAAGGGAACAGGACCTCTTCACTGGGGACAACTATCCATAAAGGTAAGTCATTTGACCATGCATACATAAAATGTAATTTTTTTTTTATCCTCACCTGAGGACATTTTTTTTTGCATTTATCTTCAGATAGAGCGGGAGGGAGAGAGAGAGAGAGAGAGAGAGAGAAACATTGATGTAAGAGAGGCACATTGACTGGTTGTCACCCACACAACCCCAACCGGAGCCGGGGGAAAACTGCAACCGAGGTACGCGCCCTTAACAGGAACCAAACCCAGGACTCTCTGGTCTGTGGGCCAACGCTCCAACTGCTGAGCCAAACTGGCATGGGCAAAATGTAATTTTTAAAGCTAGAAGAAACTGTAGAGGTTATCTAACTTATTCTCTTTATTTTATAATTAAGACATCAAATAATTTTGCCATTATCAATGGCAAAATCTTGTATATTGTACATTTTTAAATTAAAATTTTCCTCGACGTCTAGAAATATGATTTACAAACGTCCCTCCCCATATCACTGGGAATTTAAGTACCATAGACGAAGAAGGAGCATGAAACAGGAATCTCTTCACTCCATCTGTACGGTAGAATGTCACTCATCTGCTATCACCAGAGGAAGAGAAATCAAACCACAGAGATCAAAGGCTAGACGCTCCAAATACTGTAGTATTAGCGAAACTGATCTGACCCTCTCCTCGAATTATTCTGGACTTGTGTTAAAAATAAAAAGCAACAATCTGGGCAGTCATTATGATAGTTAATGACTTAAGAGTCCAAATCTCAGGATTAGATGATTATCCTGATATTTTGAAAAGTACTTTTCATTTCCTCTAAGGATAAAAAGGAGAAGGGAAAGGAACTATTATGTACTTTATAGAAATTAACTCATTTAATCTTCACATAAACCCCGTAAAATGGGATTATATTCATTTTACAGAAGGGGAAACTGAGACACAAAGTTTATGCAATCTGCCACTGGCCCATGTGGCTCAACTGACTGCAGCGTCTTCCTGTGCACCAGAGGTCGTGGGTTTGATTCTGTCAGGGAACATACCTATCAGGGAGGATTCCAGAGGCAACCAATCACATAGATGTCTGTGTCTGTCTGTCTGTCTGTCTGTCTGTCTGTCTCCTCCAATCTCTCTCTCCCCCACCCCCTTTCTTCCCCTCCCTCCCTCCCTCCCTTTTTCCCTAAGGTCAGAAAAAAAAGTGTATGCAATCTGCCTTAAAATTGCAAATATAATTAATTACCAATAGGATCTGAATCAATTTCTAGTTTATTTGTTATCAAAATCCAAGATCTTTCTACATCATGTAACCTCCATATTAAGAGAAAATTATGATAATATCACGGAATCCTGATATTCTGAGTCCTTTTACAGACGTCAGTAGAAAATCTCTTAATGGCATCAACTGATGATAACCTAAAGCAATATATTTTAAAAGATTTGTTACTGGAAGATCAAAAATTCCATTATAATAAGAGTCACACACAACTATGGGAAGTACTATTATAGAAGGAAGCCTGAACAAACATTAAAATGTTTTCAATGTATCCAAGGCCTCAAAGTAGGAGATACTTCGGATAAACAAAAATTGTGACGCTTATGCGTGAATTACTAGGATTTAGCTAGCTTTAGTAATTAGTTCCTGAATAGTAAGCAAGGCTGTTTTTGTCATGAAGTCTGTTGAGAGGAAGTGGGTAATGTACCCAACTATTCCCCTACTCCCCAACGGTAAATGTACGGGGGAGGGAAGAAAATGACAGCGTAAACGCCAAATGTAAAGCGGCCAAAACTGGCCCTCTACCACAGTTTCTATATAACTAAAGGATGTATGATAAAGCCATTCTCATTACGAGCTAATTATGTACATGATTCACCAAATGGCATAAGATTATGATTTATTAGAAACTGAGACAGCAAGTACAAAACGGGTCATTATGTTTGTCAGAACGAACTGTAAACGCAAGGCTCACCCGGTCTACCGTAAACTTAACTTCCTACCAACCGACTTATAATCACACACACTCTTTAAGATGTAACAGTCCCTAGAACCTTGAAGTGTTACACAACTTCTTATATCACCATCAAAAGCTGAACTACTCCTTCGGGCAGTACCTGCTACTTTTTATATCGTGTTTGGGATGAACTCAAAGAAAAAAGGATTCAATGATCCGCCCAAGATGGCAACTAAGACCCGCTGCTGCTACCACAACCTAACCAACACCCCACGACTTGCAGGGCTCACTGGCACGCTCCCCGCGGACGCCGCAGCAATTCGACTCGAAGGTGGTCTCAAGCACACGCAAGTTCCCCTCCAGAGGGGCACACACGCAGGAAGGCAGGAGCCCGGCCCTGGGATACGCGCCCCGGAGGAGAGCTCACTTTGTACTGCTCCGCAAGGCGCGGGGAGCACGTGCGGCGCGGGCCGCGTTCGCCCCGGCCGTGCAGCCCGCAGAGCTGCGCCCGCCTCCGCGCTTCCACCCCGCGCCCGTGCGCGGCGGCTCCCCGCTCACAACCGCCGGCCCTGCGGGCTCTGTAGCCCAGGAGGGCATGAAGAAAGCCGAGGGAGGCCGCCGGCGGGGATGCCCACAGCAGAGAACGGAGAGAAGAGGGGCAGGGACTTAATCCCCGGGAGGCGATTCCCGCCTCTCCCAGGCGCTGACCGGCGGCCTCAGCGCAACAAGGTGAGACACGGACACGTTCCCGCCGCTTCAGACCCCAATATAAGTCCCTGATTTCACTCCAATGGCCAGCGCGGGCCGCACTACTCACGGCAGCGCACCCCACGCCCGGGCCCGCCAGTCTCGAGCCAAATTGCGGGCTGGGACGAAGGGGAGACACCAGGCCTCTCAACCTGCGCAGCACGGTGCGTCGGCACCCCGGCCTACCATCGCGACCAGAACGCGGACTCCCACCCAATCTACTCCCGCTGGCCAGAAGCGCCTGTAGGCCCCAGATGACAGGGACAGACCCACCGACTTACGAAGCCCTCTAAGAAATTACCTTTGAACTGGCCTTCTGCGACCCGCCTGGCGTTTTGTCCGCCATCTTGAGCTTTGCCCCTCCTTCAGCGGCGGCAGCAGCAGCAGCGCCGACTAGTCGAGCGCCGAGAGAATGGATCACCGCGGAGCCCGCCAGAGCGCCTGCAAGGCTGAATAGCCAACTGCCGAGACCAGGAATTCAAGCTCGGGGACACGTGACTTCCGGTTTCGCCCTTTTCCCCGGCCCCGCCCACTACGCGGGTGTTTCTGGTGGTCTCGGCTGCTGGGCGTGTTATCGGACCCGGGAATTTAAAGAATCTTCTGGTCCTGGCTGATGCTTCACTCCTTTGCAAGCAACAGCCCCTGATAGGTGCGAGCAGCTTGCGTTTCCTGGAGAGGAGGAGACGTCTCCTTAAAGAAGAAATGCACTGATCAGCTGGGCAGGATTTTACTTCAACTCAGAAAATAAGTCTGGAACGGACTGGGAGGAACTGGTGCTCCGTGGACAAAGACCTGTTTGCACCGCCACGGGAGCTCACACTCTGGTGGGAAACTTGCAGGCTGCTCAAGGTACTTGAATATAGAGTTTGCCCAGAAAGCAGAGAAGAGGAGCATTTGACCCAACCTGAGATTCTGGCAAGGGGGTATGCGATAGACTGTTCAGGGCGTCTGCAGAATGGTACCTGCAGAGACAGGATGAATAAGAGAACATCATAAATAGACACTATTCTAAATCTGGCATATATGGAAATTGTTATTTAAGAATTACATTTTACAATTTAGTATTTTCATTTTTAGTTACATAAGTGGAGGGAAACACCACGGAGAGGGAGTAGTTGATATAAAGCCTGGTGGCATGCATCAGTCCGCTGTGCAGTCACGGTTTCATTAGACCAGGTGTAGAGAGGAATGTGAATGGGAGCAAGTTCATACAGGGCCCTGAGGCAACCAGAGTGCCTAAGAGTTAGAATTCTGTTCTGAGGATAGAGAGTGGCCTTCAACCGGATTAACTAGGACTGTGATGTGGTCAGATTTTAAGTTTTAAAGGATGGCTCCGAGGACTGGGGAAAAGGAAGAAGACAAGTTCATGATCTTCCCTCCTTAATTCATCTATGCAGAGTATTTGTGAACGGTTTTTGTGAATAAAAGCCTGTCCAAAGTGTTCAGGCTTACAGAGACAAATAAAAATGCATTGTCTTTGTATGATTTAAAACCTAATGAGGGTTGGGCAAGAGAAGGGAACAGCAAACTAACCCTGTGCAGAATTAAATTGATGCTGAAAGGAAAGATAAATCGCTGTGGAAACTCTGAAAGAAGTAATTCTGAGCATAGGAATGGGGTACAGAGATGGAGGAAATTTCACAGAGAAGGAAGCATTCAAACCAACTCTGAAGAAGTAGAATTTTGTCTGTTGGATGGTGTTGGGGGGCAGAAGGAGGGGAGGTTGGGGTAGTGGTGAGGGAAGCACTTAGAACAGGATCTGGCGAATGCAGACCCTCAGGAAATGTGAACCATCATATGTGCCAGACACTGAGGAATCAGCAGGACTCCTGTGTGAGAGAGGGAGTAGAATAGCCCCCCAGAAAAATCATTTCTAAACAAGAACTAATTAGAAAGCGGCAATTGCTAGACATTGAAATTAAAATGGAACGATGCTTTGCAACCTCCTGTCCAGTTGAATTTATTTTCAATCTCAGATTTTATCACTCTTTTTCAGTTCTGCGCTTCTTCCCCCACCCTCGTCCTGGTCTCTAATGGAAAAGTTATCAATTTAAGGCTACTCCTATTGAAGATGGTACTTCCCGCAGGACCTTACAGACCTTCCTCCCCCATCAGGCCTAAGTTAGAGACCGCTTCTGATCCACAGGAAGGTATGCCTTTCCCACTGAAGATGCTCATCACATTAGATTGTAATTATCTGTTCACAGTGTGGGATTAGAAAGTGAAATCGTCAGCTGAAATGAAGGGATGTATCCAATCATGTTCTGGCAATGCTACAGGCTGATATTGTCTCTGTAAAGTAAATACATGCATATTTTTCATTCAAATTCCTAAAGTCCTACTTCTCTTATAAAAATAATTTTTACTAAATGCTTACCCCTAAGAGAGTTAAAAATAAAGTTAATGCAGACTTCTTTCCTCTCTTTTTCATACAATAAATGTGACCTGACCAGAAGTAATACATAAGCCTTTATTACGGCCTAATTAAGCAAATTTTTAAAAATTCACAATCATCCTGGCCGGTTTGGCTCAGCAGTTACAGCGTCGGCCTGTGGACCGAAGTGTCTGAGGTTTGATTCCTGGTCAAGGGCATGTATGTACCTATGTTGCAGGTTCGATCCTTAGCCCCAGTTGAAGTTGTACAGGAGGCAACCAATCTTTGTGCGTCTCTCTCTCATTGATATCTCTCGCTCGCTCACTCGCTCTCTTTTTCTCTCCCCGTCCCTCCCTTCCACTTTGTTTAAGGATCAATGGGAAAATGTCTTCTGGTGAGGATTAAAAAAATAACAATAAAAAATAAATAAGTAAATAAAAATTCACATTCATGGCAATGAGCAGAGTTCCCCTGGATACATATAAGTCATGAAATCTTGGCCCTATTACTCAAACCACAAATTAAGGAGGATGAGAGAGCATGAATATACAAGTGGAATTTTTACAGAATCTGAAATTTTTAATTAAACTCACAATTACTGTTGCCAAGGGACTACCCATAAATAGTAAGGAAATCACACAATGAGCTGCAATTAGCATTACTTTTTCACAATCACACTGAAACCAGGCCGTTTTTCCGTCCCACACCTGCCACCTGTGCAGGGTTCTCCCTACAGCTATGCTCAACACCAAGCACAAAGCAGTACCAGATGCAGTTTGCCGAAGGGTTTTGCTTGACTCGAGCAGGGAGATTTGTGTTTCTTTGAAACTTGAGTTGGCATTTTTATCTATTTATTTAATTTTTTTTTTTTTTTTTATCCTCACCCGAGGACATTTTCCCATTTTTTTGTTCAGGTAGAGTGGGAGGGAGAGAAAGGAACAGAGAGAGAGAGAGAAACATCGATGTGAAGGGACACATCGAGTGGCTGCCACCCATACAACCGACCAGGGCCGGGGACAAACTGCAACCGAGGTACGTGGCCTTAGCGGGAACCGAACCCGGGTCTCTCAGGACCCCAGGCTGACGCTCTAACCGCTGAGCCAAACCGGCCAGGGCAAGTAGGCATTTTTAAATTGGGAGAGGTTACATTTTTATACTCAGGATGTCCAGCTTTTCTTGGAAAATGGCAAAGCCTGGCAGCGAGCCACAGTGACCTCTTGGAAAGCAGTGTGTGCGTTCCAGTTCACCAGGCCTTCACTGCACAGGCTGTGAAGAAATGAATGCCCAGAATCAGACTGCTTGAAGGCATGTGAGTTTTCTACTTGTTGGTGTAAGGAGCATCCCAATCTTTTATAAGCTTATTTGAGCCAGACTGAGGACAGACGCTGGGAGGAAGATCACAGATGCTCCCAAGAATAACAGTTTTGCAACTTCTTTTATGCATTTGAAATTGAGGAGGGATGTAAAGGAAGATTACATGGAGGTAGGAGAAAGCAAGGCAGGAATTAACGGTTTACAGGATAGTAACAAGATTATATAATCTCTTGAAGGTTAATACCCTCTTTAAGGGGTATTACTTCTGGCATTTCACAGGTGTGTTCATCTAGATACACAAAAACAATGGACAGGGCTGGTTTAAAACCTTTCACTAATGAAGTTTTAGGCCTGGGGTGTGACTCCCCACTGTGACCTGCCCATTAGGAATCTATGATGAGATCACCCTGTGAGGTTACTTTCCATAGGACCCCTTTTTTTTCATCCACATACTTCTCATGTACAAATTTAAGTCTTACCAAGGGTGATGATGAAACATTTAACAATCAGTCCCCCAGGCACCAAGGAGAACTAACGTCCATTTGGCAAGGAAGGTTCTGAGCCTAGGGCCCACAGATACATTTTTTTTTCTGGTCTATACCCTTCCCCCCTCCCACAGATACTTTTAAGGCTTCCCGAAGTGTATTGATTTTTTTTTTTTTAAATCGAGGAAAAAGGTGGAGTGGAAAGGCTAAAACAAAAGCAGCATTTAACAATATACACAATGAGAGAGACCTTGAACATGATGGCCCGAAGCCAAAACCTGTGCTGTGCCCAGGAACTGCTCTGTGGCCGCACTTTCATTCTCGAGAATCTTTAAGCAGCTTCTCCCTGTTCTCTGGGCTTCAGGATACAGGTTGGTAAAAGCTCAGTCCCATCCATTTGCTCATTTGGCAGGGACTGAGTTTCTAGCATGTGCCAGGCTCTGAAGAAGGAAGAGAGAAAGGAAGGAACAGCTAAAAATCAGACTTAGCTCTTCTGCTAAGAGAGAGCCCAGCTGCTCCTAGGAACAGTCAGAGAACAGCTTTCAAGGAGGGTGTGATCTATCTGTGTGGAATGGAAGATTCTTTCCGAGGAACTGAATTGCCTGCCCCAACCCACCCCACAAAGCTAGCCTGACAACAAAATGTCAGTGGCAATAGCAGATTCTCCCTTTTCTCCTGCCCCCCCCCCACCAGAAACAATAAAACAAACAAACAATAAAAACACCCAACTTACTTATTGATCATATCTAGAGTTCTTTTGACAAGCGTAATTAGCAGTGGCATTTTTGTTACACTACAGGTGCCTGGGAAATGAGGCAAATAAAAATGGTGCGAAAAGCCTATAGCCCAAGGATGGGCTAGGGACGAGTCGAATAAAAATTAGCTATGATCCTGGTGGGAAGAGTATCCTTACTGTTTTGTGATTGCTATATTAATAAAATAATGGTCCAGATGGAGGATTTTGTGTGTGTGACAAAGGAGGACTGAGGTTGCCCATGGCAAGACATGACAACTAGCAGAAGGTGACATACAGGGAGTTCTCACCATGGCCCGGCAGTCCAAAGGCGGCCTTGGCTTGGACCACCCAGGGATCAGGCCTCACTAACTTGTGCCCTGCCTTCCGCCAGTGGGGAGCCTACATATCCCCATGAAGACTGAAATTATTTAAAAATATATTTTTATTGATTTTTTAGAAAGAATGGGAGAGATAGAAACATCCATCAGCTGCCTCCTGCATGCCCCCTACTGGGGATCGAGCCCAA